CCCGGAGCAACGCTTACTGAATGAGTCAGCCCGTTCATTTGGCAAGCGCCCAGTAGTGCGTACCGTCTCATTTGACATGGACGCAGTATTGCGCAGATATTGTCGGTGCCTTCCTGAAAACTGAAGCACCAAGCCTGCCCTACCTTGGCAGAACTTGAAAGGCATATAATCAAACTCAAGCCAACAAAGCTCTAGAAGGATACATTGATTCTCTTAAAAATAACGCTGATGAAAAACGTGACTCTGTATTAGTGAACACTTTCCTTTGCCATATACGAACTACGAGCATATACCTAACGAATAGTTGCAAGATGAAGGAAACGCACATTCTGTCACCACGTATTTAGCAAAGACAGATTCTTTCCAACATGGCTGATTCAAGTGGCTCCAACACTCTGCAAGCTAGCCGCCCTTAAAGCTCAGACTCTTGATTCCAGAGGCATGCTGTTGGCGGCTAGACCCTCTCCTTACTAGCCAGTGTTAATATATCGTGCATTTAGGCGTCAGTCCGGTAGCAAAGGATGGGTTTCACCAAATTTTTGCAGCTACAGTGTAGTTCAAAAAGCATACATGGTATCACCGCAATGCATAGCACTAGCGAATTCGGAGGTAATTACTTGTCGCATCAGATCCCAAACAGCACGGAAAGCGCAATTGGCGCTGTTGTAAAGGCAGATGATTATGAAGCTGAAAGACTCTGCATCCATCTTGTCTTGGTGATTCCAAAACACGCACCGAGCAAGAGAGCAACAGGAGTGCACGGATAGAATGCAATGGTGACCTGCAGTCAAGAGTGCATAAAGTCTGAGGCGCAGCAGTGTGACACAAAGCATAAGCATCCGAGAGTATGTAGCATGCGTGAGGTTGGCAGCGACAACAAATCGCGAAACACAAACGGCGCCCAAGTTGATACTTTATCGTTCAAAAAATTGACAAAACCTCAAACTTTCACCCATCAAACTTGCTCAATTTAGCAAAAGCACATACTACAAAGTAGGAAAAGTAGTCCATCTTCATACGAAGCTTCACAGAGGCACGTACACTTGCACTACCAATGTTCTCGGGCCAACTTCTTGCATCGGTTACACCAACACCCACAACATGCGGGTAAACAATACCCCTGCCCGAGACTAGCAACCCTGCTGAGTTACTGAGACGTCGTACACACCCGCATCCGTGGACTGCACTGGGCACACAACTTCTCGAGACCATGCACCATTTTCATCATGAGAAGTTAGACAACATATAACCTGCTGTCCGGCTCTCCGCGATAAACCTTACCGCTTGCGCGGTAATGCAGCTCCTGCAAGTTCGTCAGTTCCACCTGTACGTCACAAACTAGAAGCATTGCCACTCCACGCGTTAGCCGTTTGCGCTACTGTTGCGAGGTATTGCGTTCCGTGGAGTCTAGCATCGGGTAGCCCTTCTGGTTTGCCTTTATGGCTAAAAGGCAAGATGGAATGACTAGAATGCCAGGCCAACTGACAAAGCCCATTCTGCCCACACTTACCACCCAGCTTTTCAACGAAAGGTGCCAATACATCGATTTACCCATACACAGCCAGGCACTTCCATCCCTCCGAAGTAAACGTCTTCTACAATTCGTAACGCAATGTCCGGGCAGAACTGGCACTTCCATCTATGCAACGACACCGCATACAAAAAATACACTGAAACGGAAGTAAGTGTAACCAGCAAGTAAAATGCAATTCCGCTGGGTCCCTCCGTGCCCTAGAATTCCAATGTGCATCTAGAAGCCAGTCATTATACCCGTCCAAGCGCTATCGACAAAAGCCCCTTATAACCACAATTCGAAACAATCTAAGCAGATAAAAGTGAAGCAAGCGTAGCAGCGATAAAGGGGACACCATCCCCAGACATTTATTCATCTCGATTGCAACATTCCTTGCTAGTAGTGTAAAAGCTGTAGAGCAAAGTAGACGGTTTCCTGAATCGAGTCGATAGCAATATCACTAAACCAAAATCAAGCATGGCACCAAAGTAAGAGGTCTTCATAAGAATCCGCGTCTTAAAAGAGCTTGTTGTGTAGGAGCAGCATCGAAAACAGCAATATTTCCATCATCAAGCAATGAGCGATTCCCAACGAGTCGGAATACAAAGAGCGTAGCTGCGTACAACAGGAATCATGTATTTGCAGCCAACTGTCGTGCTCCTACTATACCGAACATTTCAGAGATTCACACGTCGATGTGGGGCTTACAACGATTACCTCGCGACACAACTTCCTTAGTCGATACTGAGCTGACAAAACAAATATTTTCACAGAACAGTAAAAACCTGGACGATGACACTCAACGCAAGCACACGCGAAGTTCTCCCATCTCGAGATATATAAACGCAAAACACCTGCCGCTTGAGGACACTATGCATATATAATGTACGACGCAAAAAGAAACCTGGTAAACCAAGGCTGTGTAGGATATGTTTCTCCCTCCGCGACTAGAAGGCACACATAACACTACCGGAATGCACCACTGCCATATGATCTACGAATTCCCAGCAAAACCGGACTTTTTCTAACAAAAGGTTGTCGTTCATGAACACATGTTTGGGAAAAGGGCGAGTATTTTTTGTTATTTGTATTGGTCATAGGCTTCAGGGGGAGGCTGCTGTGAAGGTTTTAGCAGCATCGACTGTTGCGTGCAAATGCGCATCCCAGAAAGCCTCCTGTTCCTCGATGCTAACTTCAAAGTTTTCTTTATGGCACACTATAATGCGTAGATTGTGAAGGGTTGTGACCCTAGTTCTTGGTGAATGCAGCTCCGATACAACATTGTAAGCGAACATGTGCCATCCTCTTTGTTGAATGTACTCTACACCGGAATGACAGGATCAGCCACGCGCTCCATGTAGCCTACTTGGGTCTCTTTCTTCCATACCATATTGTGCATGTGTTCAGGGAGTGTGGTACGCTTGATATCCCTATGTCAGCTTCATCGTAAAACGCGAGGGTACACGCAGCGTGAAGCGGATTTTGACTGCCTGCTCCATATGTACTGCACGTAAAAGTTTCCACCCTAATATCCACATATCCGTTCTGGAGGTTGTGTTTTTTCTGACCGCGCAACTCCGCACAGCCACGGGTTTGGCAGAGATGCACCGTCCGGTTGAAGGGCTACAATGTCATTTACACAGAATACACCTGCATGTTGAATTTCGGCACGGTCGGCAAGGGCCCTACAAAGGCTTTGTAAGATTTCCTGCTACGAAATATAAAGTCACCCGTACGAGGGTAGTACGAGACGCAGGAAAAATGCAAGCTCTTTGGAGATTCTGATGAAAAACAGCTGTCGGGCGAGGCATGGGTCAACTCTAAGTCCAAAAAGCCGAATATGTGTCAAAATTCAAACCCATAAATCGTCCTTCTGACATTAAACAGCAGCATTTAGTATGTTGATTCAAGTCACGCGTATAATACTGCGCTCGTCAGAAAGTTTTACAAGATGTCGCATATTGACAACTGGGCAAAGCACAGTGTGGCTCTATGATAAGCGAGTAGTTCGATAATTGTGCAGTAGACGATTGCTGCATTTCGAGCTATCATTCGTCACTGAGTGTCACACGAGCCAAAAAAAACGCGTCTGCTGGATGCTTGCATTCAGATCTCAGATAAAATTTTGATTCAGGGAGTACTCCGCCGTAATCTATGCGAGTTTGCATTGAGCACATGAATTGAGGGACGGAAAATTAGCGAAGACTTGAACAGTGACCTTACTGTGGTTCAGCACATAAGTCTCTCCCTGGCTTTGTGCAAGCGTCTACTATCATGGTTGCATATGCTGTACCTGCGATTTAGATCACTGATCATTCCTCGATAGAACCAGATTGGCACTTAAGCAAAATCATTTCCTTCCAGTGAGCACGTACGGCAAAATTTTGTGTTGGCAGTCTCTCTGTTTATGTGTCTGCGTAGAGATCATTTCTTGTTTTTCTACTGAGGCTTTTGATTGGCACAAGCCTGCTACGAGAGTGGGCGCATACATGTACTAACCAACAACTTGTCGTGCAGCCAACAATACTCTCGTGAAGCTAATGCGCCTTCAGAGGATAGGAAATATCAAACAGCACGATGCATAAAGGATACGAGCTAGTGGCCACCAGAGCGCCAGCATTTGACGTCAAACCTTGCCATCCAACTCAAGGCAGAGCACTACTAATTGAGAACGATTTCCGAAAGCCCCCTACATCAAGAACGAAGACCGTTTGAACCTCGACATGTTGCAGCTCAGGCATACAGTACAGCCGAGTTAGGTAGGCACCCACGAATGTGAGCACTGGGATGACAGAATCCTCAGCTAGGAGGGAGCCCGCAATTGAGGTTTGTGCCAAGTAGGATACAGGTGCTTGCACAGCTCTTAATGCGTGATTACTCGCCAGCCTGGCCAATCGCAGAGAAGGCTGCTTTGCATGCCGTGTTTTCGCAGAGAATACAGTAGGTCTGTGGCACGCAGCGCATAGACACAGAGCGCTTCGGTTTCTGTTTTGGCTCAACCGGTAGCGCAGCAGTTTTGTCTCACAAGTCTAAACTGTTGAGAGTGTAGGTGTCTGCGGGTTCAAAAGGAATATCTGTTTACGCCTTCTTCTAGACCTGTGCCTCTATGCCCTAACTCTACGAGCAACACATACACTCCACACCCAGCACGGTGCGCCGAACCATCAACTCTAAATGAAGCGAAACAACCGTCTTTCAAAGTCGTCCGCTGCTGAAATCGTATAACCCCGACCTCAAACCCCATCCCCGATAAAACAAGGGTGGCCCCAGTAGTCCGACCCACACCGGGGCCCCACAAGGCGTGTTTCCTTTGGATCTTCTGCGACTTCTGGGGGTGGCCTTTTAATGAGAATGCCTTATTTGTTCCCCTTTTGACCCGCATTGGCCCCTAAAGTCAAGGTTTTGATCGGAATACCCCACAGCCGTGTTTCCTCATCCTAGCACCCTAGGGGCCCCTGCACCAGAGGGGCCCTCCCGCGTTTGAACAATGAGGCAAAGCCGCGTAAGCACTCCGCCGAAGGGGGCAACAGCTTCAAAAAGGAAACTCCAGCTCAATTATCGGAAAGAAGGAGAGAAGGAACGGCAGCCACAGCAGCAGGAGCAACGATCTAGGACGGGGTCTGTACCCAGCGCAGAGAGTAGGGGGCACCCGAGCAGGCCCTACTACACCCCAGTCGCTGTTCCTGTAAACTACAGAAGCAGCAGGGTGATCATCAAGAACCTTCCGCCCTTCATAACTGAGGCTGCCCTGCGAGAGCACATCGCTGCCGCTGCGGCAGGAAGCAGCCGGCGTGGCAAACTCGACGCCAGCAGCGTCACGGACTGCGTTATTAAACGAAACAAGGCAGGCAAAAGCAGAGGGATTGCTTTTGTGGGCCTCGAAAGCGAAGCTGCCGCCGCTGCGCTGCTGGAGCGGCTCAAGGGGACTTACGTGTACACCAGGAAGATAGAGCTGGATTACGCATTGCCGCGTTCATTTGTTGCCGGCACCGCTGCTGGAGCGGGGGTAGCAGAAGATACAGCAATCAAAGTTGCAGCAGAATCACCCGAAAAGAATTCAACAGATCCCTCAGCAGCAGGAGCTACGGGCGCTGTCTCGGGGGCCTGGAAGCAGAAAGTCGTTCCACGAAAGGCAGGTGTAAGGTCGGAGAGGCACCATGTGCTATTCGATTATGGCGAGGATACGTCTACCAAAAGAGCAGAAGCCGCAGAAGAAGGCACAACTGCTGCGGCAGCAGCCGCGCTGTCTGAGCTCCTTCAGCAGGACGGCGACGATGACTTAGCGTGGCTGCATAAGCAGAAGCACCAAGGAGAGGAGGCTGCTTCCACACAAGGGGGGGCACTGAATCAGGAGCAAGATGCGCTGCGCGAGGAGGAGCGTCAGCTGATCGAGGAGCATGGGCGCATCCTCATTACGAATCTGCCTTACTGCTGCAGCGAAGAGGATCTGAGATGCCTGTGCAGCACCGCAGCAGGAGAGACGGCGGGGGTGTATATAATGAAAGACAGCGAAACTGGCAAGCCTCAAGGACGAGCGTTCGTCACATTTGTCTTTCCTGCCGCAGCTGCTGCTGCTCTTGAGAAACTCAACGGGATGGTATACAGAGGCCGCATCCTTGCTGCAGTTGCTGCAAAGCCAAAGGAGCAGCGCCAGCAGCAGCAGCGGGCGGAGAGGGAGAAGAGCAGCTATAAGAAGAGGCAGCAGCTGCTCCGACAGCAACAGGTAGAGCAGCTGCAGCCACACAAGAGCTGGAATTTGCTCTACATGTTGCCTTCTGCCGCGGCAGACGCAGCAGGGGCAGATCTGGGAGTCTCAAAGCGTGACTTGCTACTGCAAGGCCAAAGCCATCAGCAGCAAAGTGCTGCAGCGGCAGCAACCCTTGCAGAGGCTCACGTACTACAGCAAACCAAGGAGTGGATTGAAAGGGAAGGCCTCCTTCCCGCCGCGTTTATCAGGAAGGGTGTCGATGTGCTGACTGCAAAGTATGACGAGAAGGTACACACTTTACCGGCGAGGAGTGAAGACACGCTGATTGTTAAGCATTTGCCAGCTGCTCATGTAGTTCCTTCTGAGCTGCTGAATATGTTCAGCCGGCACGGGGAGTTGCTGCGGTTCTGTCTCTCCCCTATGAAGACCCTTCTCGTGGTGCAGTTCGCCACGGCTGCTGCTGCTGCTGCCGCCTTCAAGCACCTCTCGTATAAGAAGTACAAGAACACGCCTCTCCTCATCGAGACGGCACCGACGCAAGTGTTCAAGGAAGACGTGGAACGCGCACAGGACGCAGCAGCGGAGGCAGCTGTTGCTGTCGCTGCTGCGGAGGCGGTAGGTGCAGCTGGAGGGGGAGGAATAGCGCCTTTTGCATCAACGGATGACAAAAGAACCTCACTTTCTCAGCAGACACTTCTCGACGGGCAAAAACGGCCAGAAGAACCTCCAGAACCATCTGCTGCACCCGAGGAGGAGTTCGGGGAAGAGCAGCCAACGGCGGCAGTGAGGGGCTTTCTGTTTGTAAAGAACTTGAACTTCAAGACAACGGAGGGAGCTTTTAGAGAGGCTTTTGCGGCTACTCGCGGGTTCCTAGGAGCGCGTTTAATGACGCGAAAGGGCCCCCAAAAGACTTTAGGGAGCTCTGCTGAGCTCCTGTCAATGGGTTATGGCTTCATTGAATACGAGTCAACCGAGGCTGCAGCCGTCGCAGCCAAACAGCAGCAAGGAATAGTTGTAGACGGCCATGTGCTTCAGGTGTCGTTGGCGAAGCCGCGCAGCACGAGCAGCAACAACAGCAGCTGCAGCAGTGGCAGCAGTGGCAGCAGCGCGAAGAAGAGTCCAGTCAAAAGCAACAAACTGATCGTCAAGAATTTGGGGTTCGAAGCTTCGAAAAAGGATCTGCGCGCTCTCTTCTCTGCATACGGGGAGGTAACGGCTGTGCGCATTCCCAAGAATCCTGACGGCAACAGCAGAGGCTTCGGCTTTGTCACTTTTGCAGCGGCAGCAGCTGCTGGTGCCGCCATGGAAGCGCTCAGTAGCGCGCATCTTTACGGCAGACGCCTCATCCTCGAATACGCAGAATCCGGAATCCAGACGACACTGCAAAGAGGGCCTCTCGTCCAGCCGACAGAGCAGAACAAGCAACAGGATGAGCAACGGGAGGCGTCGCGTGACTCGGACGCAGAGGGACGGCGCAGCAGCACGACAAGCAGGAAAAGAAGTGCAGCTCAGCAGGTGAATGGGAATGCCGAAAAATCGAAAAAGGGGAGGAAGCACGCGTAGGGCATCTATTGATGTCTCTCCAGTACTCTCCCTAAATCTGTGACAGAACAAAGACGACATTCGAGAGTCATATGGACTTTAGGCGGTTCCTCGATGTTTTGTACAAAGAATTTGGAGGGGGTCTCAAGGGGTTTCGCCACACACATCTTAGGCTACTTGAAAGACGTTCTGCGCTGCGGCGGTTTGCCCCGCTGTGTCTGGTACTGCTGTAATTTATGGTTGTATTCAGGGATGGGGATTAGTTGGCGGTAGGGAGCAGTTGCACGGCGACAGCCTATTCGTAGGGGTTTTTGCCAGTCAGTGTATTCCTACATATCTCGGGAGAAGAGGAACAGACTCACTATTTGCCAAAGTAAAAAGCTCCACCTCACGTTCTGGCCCAAAACCTTCACCTCAGAGTTTCTAGACCCCAGACACTTACGTCATTTTAAAAGCGCGCAAACCAGTGGGAGCCCCCTGCATTCAGTTTGAAACGATGCAGCCCTTAATATTGCTGGCAGGCACATCGGTTAAAGAACATGAGGCCGAATAGAGAAGAGCCAATGTTTCTGACACGCAGCCAAAGCCAACACACAGTGCACCCTAAACATGGACGGCGCGGTAGTTTGCTGTGAGCCAAGGCTCTCGCCGCAAGGGCTTTGAACGATACCGCAATCCGTGAAAGCAGATTATATGAACACAAGAAGCATCACCGGAAGAGCTATCATCGATGCCACACGACGCTGCCCAAGTGCTTTCTAAAATAACTGGCCGTTCACGGATGTAATTCTGGAGCAGGAAATGCCGCTGCAACAATGGAATTTTACTCCTGCGGGAAAGTTACAGACATGCAACTTCTGTCAGGCTTTCCATTCATCACCTTCGCGACGGAGGGTGACCATGCGGCTACTAAGAGAGACGCAGGAACCCTTATAAGCAAATAATCAGGTTCCCCAAGGGCTCCTCTTGCAAACAATATTTGAAGGACGATCAGAACCTTTTCTGCTCCTCATTTTACCCAATAAAACGCCTAGTCCGAATTCTTGAGCACGCTTGAAATTGGAGGGCGTGAAGGTACAACTGGTAGTGCTCCATGATAGTGAAATGTGTCGAGGCAATGGACTTTAAATGCCCCAGAGAGACGCTCTGTACGAAGTGCGAAGGACGCTATAACGTGCAGGCAAGCTGCCCTACTAGTGTTTTCTCTTTCGCGGTTGAATAAGACCGAGTGGTTCGTGGCAGGCAAACAAGGATGGCACTTTACATGGATGTAGGAAGAGCATTCACAGAATTCACTCCTCCATGATATTGAACATTCAGTGCCGCAGGGCAGGAAGAAGTGGATTTTATTCCTACAATAAAAGTTCACGTTGCTGCTATTATGGCGGAATTTTTTCATGCGTTGCTTCCCCCTTCCCTCGTTTCCCCAGTCTCTCTGGCCTTCGAGGGGCCTCCCCCTAGTTTGCTTGTACACGGCCCACTAAGCTGCGCTAGCTGTGGTTTTCGTGAAAACGGCAAGCTGCACAGGCATCTACAGGCCATACAGCCAATTCTGCGGAACAGGATTCACAGCGAAGCCCTTTTGCGGGAGGAGGAGGCAACGAAATTGCCGTGGACGCCCATGGCCAAGCGAGTGCCTTGCTCGCCAGATGAGATACCCTCTTTGACATGCATTTAATCGGAGCACGAGCCCGGCTGCCATTCAATTTTCGTGCAACAGACCACTTCCGCTGTGCATGGCTTTCTCGAATAGACCTGTGACACAGGGGTGTCGGCAGAAACTTGCGGTGGAAAAATCGCCGGGCATGGGGTGTACCGCAGTTCTCACGAGCCGGAGTAATTCGCCTGCGAAAGTTTAGTTTCCCGCAGCAAAAATTTGTTGCTTTGAGGGACTTGTGCAAGCCCGTAGCAGTCGCTGTGGGGCCCCTCATTTTTAGCTGAGAAATCGCTGTGAGGTCTCTAGGTCTCACTGGCTTAGGGGTTCCACTGAAACGTCCGTCTGTTGGGTTGTCTCTCTTGGAATATCTTGTCTATAGAAATCACCGCATTCTCTGTTTTGCTTTTCCGGCAGTTGGCCCTTGCATGACACATTTTTAGATGCCCGAAAGTCTGCCTGCTCGCGCCGTCGCTCAAGGAGGTGCTCCTGCCGAGCCGTCGACTTGTACCATTCCACCCCAGTCCTCGACCCCAAGCCTTCCAAGCTAAACGCTGCTCGTCAAAACAAAAGCTTTGAAGGGATTTTCACAGCATGGAAGCGGGGAGTCGGAGCAATCAACTGCGGAGTTGCGTGGCTGGCGGTCCAGGGACCTGCGTGCGGCAATACATGAAGCTGAAGGCTCTTGCTTCGTGCAGCAAAGCCACTGTCTGGCTCGTGCAGAGACAGCAGGAAGAGGATCGTCTACAGCAGCAGGACGACGACGCGGACGACTGCTGCTGCTGCTCCGCCCCTTGTACCCGTGCTGGAACCAGTCTGCAATACTTTGCCTTGAAGGAAATCCCCCTGAGCTCAGTCAAATCCACGAAGCAGGCGGAGCACCTCTGGGGCGAGCGGCGTTGTCTCGAGGCCCTCAGAGGGAATCCGATCGCGCAGAAAGGATGCCATAAACTGTAAATAGTTGCACATCCTTCTGCGCACACTGTGTGTCGTGAATTGCCTTCGAATCTGAACCAAGTCGGCCCCTTCCTTCCCCCTCCCCCGTTTCCTCCCTTCTTGTGGAGCTGTCATCGTAAGGCCCTTTCCGTATGCCTGCAGCAGCTCTACAGGCGTCGCTCTGAGGTCTCGCATGGGAGGACTAGGCGTATGCTCCTGGCGCTCTGTGTGTGGCGTAGGGAAGAGTGCTTCAGAGAGGACGGGTTCCTCTATTTTGTATTCGAATTTCTTCCTGGAGGGCCCCTCTTCCGGCATATTAGAGCCGCAGGAGCCCTTCCTCTGGAACAAGCCAAGTGGTATGCGGCCGAGGTAAGGCCGGAAAAATCAGTGAACGCAAAGAGGCGCGCCGCCTCTTGCGGCTTCCCAGACTTTCTGTCTGTCGCGCCAAACAGAACTCCCCGCTTTGTTTTTGCTCCCCGGCATTTGATCCAAACATCAAGCGCAAAAGGGTCTGCGAGTTGCTAAGCGCTCTCCGTCTATCTATGGGGGGGGGGTCAAACTTGTGTCTCGCAGTTGGTAGAAACTCTTGATCGGCTTCACGCATGCGGCTGGGTACACAGAGATATTCAGGCGGCAAATGTCGTTCTTACTGCGACGGGAAGGCCAAAACTCGCAGATTTCGGATTTGCTTTCCACATCAGAAGCCGGCAAGCACGAAGCCCCTTAACAAAGAGTTTCTCCACACACCTACACAGATATACATATACACATACATATACATGCACACATACATATACACATACATATACACATACACATACATATACATATACACATACATATACATACACATTCACACATACACACACATATACCCGCCCCTCAGCGTCCCTCTTACTTTGTACTTTGGGCATGTAGCGTCTTTGAGCCCTCTGTGGGCATGCTGTGTGTATTGGGGGATCTGCTTGTTTTAACAAGATTGATGGGTTCGAAGCTTGAGGGCTGTAAAGGGTGCAGGTTTGAAGCTCTGTACGCATACGCGCAGACCTCGTGCTGCGTCTTTCTGCGGTACGCGGCACGCGATGGCGCCTGAAGTTGCTGCTCGCGCCTTAGCAAGGGAATCGACGCCTCCTACTGACGAGGCTTTCGCGGAGGGTCCTCCTGCTACTGAGGATCTCTCCTCTGCTAGTTCAAAGACGGTTCCTAAGCCTTGTGATGACACAGCGCAAGGCGCTACGTCTGGCATTGCGCAAGAGGGACAGGGGTCACCGGAGCAGAAGGAAGGGTACTTGGGGCCCCCCGTGGATTGGTGGGGCCTTGGCGTTCTCCTTTACGAATGCCTTACGGGGTAGGCAAGGGAGGTTTGGGGTGTCTTTGTTTCGGCGATTTGCTGCAGGCTGTGAGCGCCGCCAATGCTGCTGCTCCTGCTGCTGCTGCGACAGTTAGTCGTCACTTGCACTAGCTATTCCTATCAGCGTTTGGTCTTTGCGTGCCGTCTCTTGCGTTTGTTGCCGCTTGTGCCTTGTCCTTCGCCTCCTGGCACTGCCGTCCTTGCCTTTCCTCTGTTTCTCATGGCATGCCGCTGCGGCCCCTCCTCTGTCTCTGCAGCACCGCCCCCTTTGGCTATAAAGACTTTGAGAAGCACCCGTGAGAACCATGGACTGCTGCTGCTGCAATTGGCTGCTGCGAATGCCTGTGCCGATTCTACCGCTTCTAAGCCCCACAGCTGCTGGTGCCACAAGAGCCCTTCAGTCTGATCTGCTCCTGCCTTAGCTACTTCTGCTAACTTCTTCCCTCCGCGCGGGGAGCTTCCACGGACGCTAGTGCCGTAGATGTTGTTACTGCAGGTTCCTAAGGATTTGGGACTTGGCTGCATGCGCCCCCGAATCTGTCGCCTATCCAGAATCTTCGCATCTCCCAGTCGAGGCCAAGGACCTCATCAAGGCCCTCCTGCAGGTGTGCTGCTGCTTCTGCACGTGCCCTTTTTTGCGGAGGCGGCATGCGTTCCTCTCGTTGCTCAGTATGTTCTATAGCGCTTCCTGTGCAGCTATCGCTATCTCCCTGGAAGACCTGGTATTGCCGTAGTCACACCTGCTGCCGCTGCTGCTCACGCAGGCGGATCCTCAGCGGCGGCTGGGAACGCAGGGCGGAGCAGCAGAAGTAAAAGCCCATCCATTTTTTTCAGGAATTCCGTGGGACCTACTGGGGGCCCCCCCCGGAGCCTTAAGTCCCGAAAAAGAGGAAGCACTCAGGGCAGCAATACCACCCTTCGATTGTGCAGCGGCAGACAGCACTTTTGCACTCTTGAGGGATGCCGAGACGGTAAGAGAGGCGAAGTTAGTTTGTGCTTTGTTTCTTTTCACCTCGGCTTTCCGGATGTACCGACCCCCACAAACCAGGCTCCTTCAGCTAAGCCCTTCCGCGTCCGTTCCATCCCTTATGTGCACTTTATTCTGGTGTTTGCATGCAGAGTGCTTCCTTCTTTGCGTTTCCCCCTTGCGCCTCCAGTGTCGTTGCACTTTTCGCTTGTTTTCTTCCCCTTCTGTGGCGTGTTCTCCCCTCGCCGTCAGCTCTTTCTGAAGCAGCCTTCGTTGTGTGCGCCGCTCCCAAACGACTTTACATGGGGGCATCCTCGTCTGCCTGCTACACGTTATGATGCCGTGCGGAAGTACTGCTCTTCAGGCAAGACTTCTTGCGCATGAAAGCCAGCAGCAAGACCCCTTCTTTGACTTCTGAGCTACAATGAAGCTGCTTTCTATCTAAAAAACGTGCCTCCGGCGTCTTCGGAGGAAGCCTGCGAAGGGCCGCAGGGGGCCAAAGAAGGAGAGCGGAGGGGCCTCACCTTATTCCCCAGCTGCGCGTGGTGGATCCCAAGAAAATGGACTTGTAGAGTAGAAAAGGCACTCTTCGCAAAAGCTCCAGAGCCACAACTCTGGGCATCTGGAACACTTTGCGAAGCAGAAGAGGCGGAACTGACGGACTTGCCGCTCTCTGTTTCACGCCAAAATTATATACAGAGCGAGGCTTTTTCTCCTCTCAAGATGTTCATGAGGGGGCCCCCCTACGCTGAAAAGTCTCTGCGATACGCGGCGCCGGGTGCCCCCTTTAAGGCCACCGTGTGGAAAATTCGACATTCTAACTGCTGCGTTGGAGCCTCCGAGGTAGGAGGTCTCCCCCACAGTCGTACAGAGGCCTCCTCCCTCTTAAAGGCCGACCCCCAAACAATGAATTCCTTGTCTGTCTAGCAGCCACAAAACGGGCTGGGTTCAAGGCAGAACGAATGTATCACAGTTTGTATATGCACCCTGGTGCAGCAACTCCTACAGTTCTTAATACTGCACTGCTGCAGAGCCTCTCGCTGCTGCAGTAACCGTAACGTGTCACCTTCTGTATCGCGAGTTGGGGTGTGGAGGCGGAGGGCCCCGGCCTCCATGCTGCATTTTCTGTTGCTGCTGCTGGCGGCGCTGTTTTGGGGGAACATAGTCGAAGGGATCTGAGACGGGAGCTCGTCGTCTCTCCGGAGATTCGCTATGCCCTACGCCACAGCAGCACACAGCCGCACCATCACCAAAAAAGCACTAGGATGCGCAGCCAGAAACGCACAAGAAAAGTTGCGCGGGCTCCAGTCGAGCACATCGACCACGCAGAAGCCGCAACAACAGTCAGCTTAGCATTCGATGCGTGTCTCTCTGTGTGTGCATATATATATGCATATGCAGGGGTTGCCTGGTTTGCGTAGAAGGCCGTACGCCTCGAGTCTGGGGATGGCTTTCCCTCGCCGTCCTTCCAGCCGCCTCCGCCCCTGTTGCTGCGGTGAGAGAGCCCCTTCTTCTCTCGACTCGTGCTTCTGCTTCTGCTCCTTCGGCGCGAGGAGGAACCTCCCTGTCTGTCTCTACTCCTGCTCCTGCGGCGATCTTCTCCCCGACAGTGTGGCTGGGGCCCCTGGCATTCCTGGAGCGTTTGAGGCCCCTTGCCGCCTACTGCCTGCCGGGGTGCAGGTACCCAGAGCCCTCGCTCATTGAGGACCATCGAGCCAGGCTTCCTGAGAATCCCCCCCGCAGAGACAAGCCAAGCGCGGAGCTTTTTGTGGGCGAGCATTCACAGAGAGGGGCACGAGTGGAAATCGCTCGGAGGGCGAGGAAGCAGGGGTGGCTGCTCTCTCGGAGATATTACCTCCCCTTCCCCATACGTCTGCGAGCTGTCCCTTTTCTACGCGCTATGACCTCCCGTGTGTTGTCTGTGTCTTACTTTGGCAGCTTCTGTCGGGCACCTCCATCTTTCTCTTCGGCGGCGTCTCTGGGGGCCCCCTGCTGCCCGTCCGGCCTGAGCAGTGCATGCGGCTGCTCCCACCTTCTGTGTTTGTAGAGCGAGGGATCTGCCTGTTGCTCCCTTCTCGGCCTTTCGGGGTCGTAGACAGGCACGAAGTGAGGCATCTTCTGGTATTCAACTTTTAGGGGGAAGGGCCGCCAGGCGGGCAGGGGCAAACTCGTTCCTGTTTCTGCAGGCAGCAGAAGGAGCAGCAGCTGCTGCTGCAGTGACACAGACACCTAACAAACCCCTTGCGCTACGCCTTCCTGCCCGTACAACGCTTCCGTCCGTTCCCCTGTCCTGCGGCCGAAAGGTAGACGCAGCCTCGCCAACGCGGCGGCAGTAACTTTCACATAAAATATTTACAGAGCAATCATCACATGCAAGCAGAAAAACCAAACCAGAAAACAAACGCTTCGAGCAGGGGTGCATGATTTGCGACGTGCTCTTCAAACTTCTTTCCGGGGCCCCGTGAGAGAAGGGAGACCAACCCAGGGGGGCTGGAGGGCCCTTTAGAGGGCCCTCCCTCCTTCTCCGGAGATATGAATGCATGCAAAGATGAAACCTCATGAATAATTAAACAAGAAGCCGCTCTTCCAGGCCACCACACTGCTGCTTTCCCTCTGGTTCGCAGCGATTCAGTCCTCCACGCCCGTTACACCACGACGTCCCTTGACTCCTGTGTGCCCCTCGACGCCCCCGACCATCGCCGCCTCACACCCGTTCAACTACCCCGTTGAGGGGGGCCCAGCTAAATGGGGCCCCTCCGCTCCACTTTTCAGCGAAAAGCGCTGTTTCAGGCCCCCTAAGGGCCAACACGCGAGCTAGCTAGCCAGCCACCCCTACACACAACCAACCTAACCAGCGTTTAGGCACGATTCACCCGACGAAAATGTTCGGGTGGGGAAAACGACGCTCTAGCGCGGGCGCCCCGCCTGCAGCGGGCCCCCCTGTGCCCCCTTCTGAGATCGATATGTCTTTCATGGCCGAGTTGAAAGGGGCCGCTGAACAAAGTCTTAGAAGAACTCAAGACGAATGCAGGCGCCTTGCTGGAGACTTTATGGATGCCATTTCAGGTGTATATGCGTTCGTTTCCGTTTGCCCTTTCTAACCACGAGCTGCGAAGCGCGCTTCTCCTCTCCCTTCCTACTCTTTTACGCCGCATATACGCAAAGTCTGAAGCCCTAAATCGTTGCTCAATGACGCATCGACCACACGAATACCCGCGACAAGAATAAACTACATTGCTTGTGTAGATGCGTTCTGGTGGTTGTGTGTACCGGGGTGCGTTTGTGTATGTTTCTGGTGTACACGGGTGAGTCATGAGCTCGGGTGGGGGGCCAGCGCAGCTTGCCGCTGCTCCTTTTGTTGCTATTGTGCTCGATTTCACGGATTCTATAAGCAGCGCGGTTTTCTGCATTGCCACTGTTTTTTTGCCTGTTCAGCGCGGGCAGACCTCCTCGGCCGCTTCAAGCACATGTGGCCCGATCCAGACACTCAGCAATCGGTACTGCTGGTGCTGGCAGCCGACGTTCCCCGACGTCTCTCTCCCTTAGACGATGAAATGCAGGAGACTTTGGGAGCCGCGGAACTGTTGGGGCCGTGCGTTCCTTGGCTAGGATTTGTACAGAAGGAAAATGGATTTGCTTGCATCAAGCTGAAACTGCCTGGTATTCATGTTTTTTCGTACTGCCGCTGCTGCAGACGTTGCTTAGCCCCTATGCCATTTTCGGTTCTGAACAGCCTCCTAAAGTATTGATGGAGCTCGCGGCGTCTGGTGATGCCCTGCGTGTTGCTGATTCTACAGAGACTCTCGAGCCTTGGGTTACCTTCACGAACCGCCTCGTGGTATATCTCTTCGCCGAGCTTAATGCCTACACGGGTCCAGACAGTTTTAATGAGTGCTGCGGGGCGGATTCAAGGAGGCCCTTGAGGATGCGGTGCTCAAATCCCTTGTGAGTGGGCATCAGTAGCCTCTAGCCGAATGCAGAGTGTGCGATTGATCGCTCGAAGATTTAGTCTCCCCGGTCTTGTAGTGACCTTTGTCTTCTGACGCCACTGTATTCGTGGTCGCCTCTAGCCGGCACTAATGTTGCGCTTACATTTGGCTGATGCTGTTGCTGTTCAGGTGCATCAAGTTGTGCCACATTGACTACACGGGAGAAACCAGCAGAGCTTCGCTTCGGTTTCTAGGGAATGTCCAGAGAACGCACTACTCTGCCGAGGTTCGCTGCTGCAGGCAGCTACAGACTCAGCTCCCTATCCTCCATAGAACCGGCTTGATGGCCTATCTCATCAATGTCTTCCTTAGACTGGTGTTGTCCTTAAATATAGTGGTGCCGCTTAAGCAAATGCTGGTGCCAGTTATTCTGCTGTTTTCTTTTATGATGCTGCTGCAGCGGTCCAACCTAGCATTGCCTAATGCGGACGAGGACAGCAGCAGTAGCAGCAGCAGCAGCAGTAGCAGCGGTAGCAGCAGTAGCAGCAGCAGCAGCGGCAGGACCACAAGCGTGGCTGCCAGTAGCAGGCCGCCCACTCACCGCAGCGGTGCTGCTACCCGGCGGGGATAAGCGCAAAGCAATGGCGCCGCATTCGCAGCAGCACTCATATCGACAGTAGAACAGGGAGCGGCAACGCCTCCGGCACTAGCTGTTGGCGAGTCCCTTGTAGGAGCTTCTCCAACAACAGTAACGGAAGCGATACCACTGTTAATAGCCGCACTGGCGACATCAGGATAACCCTCATCAACGTGGTGTTTGTTGGTGGGGGTGGGGCCCCCCCAAAACCGAGGAGGGCCCCCTCCAGCCAGCATCTTGAATCCCTGCCCAGTATGTTTCTCGAAGGACCCCAGTGCCAGCACCTCTCTAGCAGCTCTCTCGCAGCAGCCCGATGTGCTGCGGCTCATTAGAGAACTAACATCTCATGGGATCCCCATGAATGGGCCCCGAGTACAAACACAGAGAGGCCCTCCTCTGGACCCCCCCGGGGCCCCCTGTGGCCTGTAGAGACTGCGTATAGGGGCTTTTTTTGGTCGTGTTACAGGCCTGCCTATGAAGCTTCACGCCTTCACGGACTCCCCAAACTAGGCCTAGCTGGAGCGTGCAACAGGGGGGGCCCTTTGAAGTGCCATTTTAGCGACTGAGAGCTCCTTCGGCAGGCCCCACAAAATCTTCCAGTGGTTGCGATAGTCGAGAGGGCTTTCTAGAATGCCATCAGAAGCTCTGCGCATTAGGCAGCTCCCCTGGAAGAGAGGCAAACACACTAAGGTCTGCTTCTTCTGGGTCTTCCCCTTCTGCTCCAGGGCCCGCCCCCCACTGTAGCAATTCTTTAAGACCTCCGCTGCAAGGAGTAGCGACTGCAAAAGTGGTTGGTAACTCAATCGCTGCTGCAGCTGCTGCAGATGCCGAGGTTCTACAGCTATAAGGGGCTTTGGAGAGGCCTGACGGACTCTGGCCGCCTAGGCTGTCTCTACTGCTGCTCCTCGAGGGCCCCCCACACAAGACTTGATGCTGGAGGTGCGTAGGCTGCCAGCTGAGGCTCTCGACACAGCCATCGGCATTCTCACTGTACGCAGGAGCAGCAGTGCTATGGTAAGAGCAATAGACGCAGCAGCAAGACAAAGAAGAGCAACGCCGCAAGCAATCGCCACTACAACACCACCACCAGCAGCAGCGCCAGCACGAGCAGCAGCAGCAAATGGCTTACGAGTCCATTCCCCCCTTAAGTGCCGATGAAATCGTTTCTTGTTGCGTTTGCGATCCTTGAATTAGTTGGGGCCCTTTCGGGGGGCCTTGTGCTGCAGAGGGCGGCGCCTCCAGTGACCAGGGCACTTCTCCCTCGAGGCGGGAGGTCATCAAGGAGATCCCGATAGAGGGCCCCCACAGTCCAGTAATGGGGGGGAGAGAAAGGGGTTCTTCTGTTTCTGCACTTGAGGGGTAGACACGTGGCGTGCAACGTCTCGAGCTGCTGTTTATGATGTTGGTGCTACTGCGCTTGGACGCTGCGGGTGTCCATCCCCAGCGCCCTATGAGATAGGTGCTGGCGCTATGGGCCACTTCTTCCGCTGAAATGGTTTTTGCAGCCTTCAGTTTCTTGGTCCGGCGCACCACAAATACGCAGCCAATAGCAACGCACACTGAAATAACAATGGAGGCAAAGAGAATGCAAATAATTGAAGGAGTACCCCACGCCGTGGAGTTGTCAGCGTGCCTCTGTGAGGAGCCTGAGGTGTCGAGGACAGTAGCATCCTCTTTGGTGACTGAGACACCCTTTTCTAGGGCTCCCACGAGGGTTCCTACTGTGTGGGCATCCTGAGCGGTGGCACGGAACTCTAGAATTGAAGACAGCGGCTCTCTGGAGCCACTGTGCAGTTGTAAACCCTCTGTCGCGGCCAGAATAGATGATAGAGGGCCAGAAACGTGGGGTGAGGGGGTAGCCTGTGCTGCATGGTCGTCGAGCACGGCCCCTAGAGCGACAGGGGACACGAGCAATACCCAGTGTAGAGCCAGGGCGAGGAAAAGGTGGGCCCAAGGATTGCTCATAGCCAAGTGCGAAATGCAGACACCGCATAAAGGGGTAGGGGGCCCCTCAGGTAGAAGGGGGCCCCGACTATCTGCAGCCTACGCGATAAGTGGGAAGAGTTTTGTGTTGGCAGGGCGCGTTTGCACGGCCTCTGACGGGGAGGGATCCCTGCCCACAGACCCTTGTGCGGTATCCAGAGGGAAGAAAACAAGAGGAAGCTGCGAGCTATTATTGGATATGTCGAGGGGAGAAGGCTGCGGGCACTGTGAGCGAGCTTTGTGGAGGAGTATCAGCGCACCCCCGAGTCAGTAGGTGGCAGAAGACACAGAAATGATCCTTTATTCTGATTTGATTGTCGAAACGATGTTAGAGACTGAATTGGCGTCAGATGAAACGGGAAGGCCCCAAAGAAAGCTAGGTAGACAGGGTGTTCAAGCCACACAGCTCCTTTGGCCACTGGTTCCTGAATGGACTGACTGCTGCGCGCGTTTCCCTCCTAAGGCAGAAGGGCACAAGCCAAGCCTCTAATGGCGGGCAAAAATACATGTAACCTGAGATTTAAATAGGTTTGAATTTCTTGCTTCATCGAATTCTTGCAACGATCACAGATTTCACGAAAAAACACATCCTCCATGGCACTCCCAGTGACCCACCGTGGACACGAGTTCAGATACCACTCGAAACACCCGTGCTGCGCTGAAAGTAAAGAACTTCCTTTGCCCGATTATTCTTTAGGGTCTATTGACAGGCGCTGAACATGCATAGCCACAGCTTTTTTGGCATTTCATCCAGAAGGGGCCACTAACCTAGTTGAACAACCTACTCAGCGAAGCACCGGTGCAACTGTCACGTGTAGGAAAGCTATCTATCCTGCTGTAGTCCACGCAATGCATAAATGCACGCAGTTTAGACTACAGGAGGTGCATAGGGAGACGGAAGAGGCCTGTAGCCACCGCCATGAAACACCAGGTGGAGCTTCACCATACAAGGTCCTTGCATTCCCATTGATTATACGGCCAAACCGTACAATTAGCCTATAAATTCCTTGAACGTTCTTAGACGCCACCTGTTCCTGTGTCGTGTACCACCCGAAACTACTTGGGACCCCTTTTGGAGGTGTATGAATACATGCGATTATGGAGGCTCAATCGATTCCGCTGCCGCTGTCTCCGCATCAGCGGCCCAATGCATTGTCCTCTCGGTTGCTAGTGCATAAAGTGCAAAAAGACACAAGTGTCTAGTACGCTGGAGTGGAACACAACGCACCACATGCTATTGCAGCTGCTGAAGGGTGCCCCTCTTGATGAAGCAATGCTTTAGCTGTTGATGAAAGCCATTGTTTGACTGCATATGAAGCTACAAGAGCTATTGTTCATGCCAGTGCTGTTTCGTAAGAGCGCTAATCCTAACGAGCAGCGGCTCAAAGTCCCCACACCCATGGCCCGTTCTTCTCAGATTTTGGAGGGCCTAATGGAGGTTTTGGGGACGTACAGCTTGGCGTGATCCGCACAACCTCCCTCAACCCTCGTCTCCACGCCCTAAACCCGAACGCCACCATAAAAAGTGGGGGCTATTCGTGGCTCTTTGGCTCTGTAGCTTAGGGCGACATGTGATGTGCCTCAGGAATAGTAAGCCTTGATGGGTATGTATAGGTGGACAGGAGAGCGGCACCTGCCAAAATACATATGGCGCCAATAACAAAAACCAGAATCGAGCGGCCCCGAAGCTCGCCATAGAAGCAGATTCCCCAAAGGCCAGAGAAGATGATAGCGCTCTGTTTTGTTGGGTATGCGACCTGATCCACCACAAGGATGACAGAAAAAGAGAAAAGGCCCTAAGAGAGAATAGGCGGAAGCAGCAAAAATAGATAAACTAGAGAAACAGAGTAGCTTTTTGTGCAGGAGCAGCAGGAAAGGGAGCGTTGAGCTTACGGAGAAGGAAATTCCTGAGGTACATCAACGCAGCAGAGCGTAAACCCGAGAATGTGGAGTCCACGCAATTACGAATACAAGCAGCACTACAGAAAGCGCAGCCATGCGCACTAGTCAGCAGCAGGAACCCATGCAGCTGCATCAGCAGCAGGTTTACCAGGGCACCAAAAGGGCAACTAGCGTTCGCATCTGCAGCAGAAAAGGTAGTTGGCGCGGACGGCGTTTGTAGAGTTTAGAGGCTTACGCGGTATCGCAAGGATTACGCAGACGGCAGAGCAAGAATAGAGGACTCCAGAGAGAAGGCCAGGGAGCAGAGCTCGTCGGCAGTGAAACTGAGGGGCTCTCAGGCCCCTCAGCCGACGAATGAGAACGAAGATGCATAGCGCCACGATGTTGGCAGTGAAGAGGCCTGAAAGGAGGCGGAGAAGAGAGTGCGCATGGAATTGAGGGGGCTAGCGCGTTGTGACAACAGTACAGCCCAGAGAGAGGAGGGAGATAAGGGGGGTGTGGGTGAAGGAAGAGACGCCCACATGCATTATAAGGGGAGGAAAGAAAGGTGAAGGTGGGTGTTTCGAGGCGACGAGAGAGAAAAGAAGGGGCCGAGGCAAGCGGTAAAACGCCACATGCGAGTGAGCCAGAATGGACCGATGAGAAGGGGAAATTAGGGAGAGAACTGTCTGTAGAGGAGAAGGGGGCGTAGATAGACGCAGTGTCGGAGGGCCCCAGAGCGCATGCTGCATGACGCAGCGACCCTCCCCGCTGCTTACCAATGCCAAAGCTGGGGAGGAACGCTAATCCCTTAGCTTCAGGCAACACAAAGGACATGGGGCCGAGTGACATGCCACCCACAACACCCGAGAGGAGTGACGCCAGCGTTGCAGCTGCTCTGTCCAAGGAGCTGAGGGCTTCGACGCCTTCGAGTGCGCCAGAGGCACTTGCAGGGTAGTCAGCGGGGGCTCCTTCCCCTGCCAACAGAGCGGAGGCTCCTTCCGCTAGGAGTGCTGGCGAGGTCCACGTGGAGCCTGCCCCTCCAGCTGGGGAGTTCAAGGCGGCGCTGTCGCTGCTGACGCGAAGCAGAGGCGACGCGACGCTCGACGGAGGGCCCCTGCGCTTGGGAGGCTTCGAGTTTGCCCCACTGAACAGATTCGTGGAGACATGCGCTTCGGAGTGCACGGATTCATCGTCCAGGAGAGGCCCTTCCATGGAGGGGGATGGATCTGCAAGGGCGGCGTCCTCTGTCGCGGCTGTAGAGGGCGTTATATTCAACGAGCTCCAGCGACGGGGGGGAAGCGTGTCTGCGGAGCAGCAGCGGCAGCAGCAAGGCTTTTCGCGCACATAAAGTGGCAGTGTTCAAACAGGAGCCACGTGTCGAGAGAGCTTGCTACTCTCGCGCCTCAATGCCCACGGGACCAGTCGCAGCCAGTGAAAGAAAAGCTAGACGATTGCCTTGCTTACCGTGCGTCACAAGCCTCTGAAGGGCAGCTGCCGTATTGCCTGCTTCCTTGAACAGAGCAGCGATGGCTCCACCACCAACAATGAGCGCAACGGCGAGACCGTCGACCCAAAGGAGAGAAACTTTGTCGTTATTTACCCAAATTCCCCATAGAAAAGAAGTCACTGCCGCTGCCCCCATGGAGCAGGCGGCATTCAGGGCGATTCCAAGGCGGGAAATCGCCAAGAAGCCTACCGACAGCGCGACTAGAACCAAGGTTCCTGAGACGCAAGCCACAGAAAATCCGTGGAGGGTCGCTTCTGGCGCGTTCATGGTTTGTTTGCTCGATCGATCCGTGGAATTGGCGCTCCCCTTGAGCGGGGAATAGCTAAATTGACGAGGCTTGAAGCGGTGTGCCCTTGAGGCCAGGCCAGATCACACACCCTTAAAAACGGGGGCACAGCAAAAGGCATGCAGTGCATAGGACGTGTGCCGAATACTTGCCTGAGAGGGCCCCCCACCACGTGAAGATGAAGTGCGTTCCGACCAGCGGGCTGTTCATCAAAGCTTTATTGTACGGCAGCAACACGAGGGAAAGCGCGCATGCCACACAAAAGCCCAGGGATACGTAGAAAACATAAATTTGTTCCTTTAGCGAAGGGCCCAGCTTGTGCAGCGAAGGGAGCTTCCTTGGCACCTGGTAAGATCCTGTGCCGTCCACACGCACACATAAATACACACATACACATACACACACCAGAGAACGCTCTGCATGAGTGCACGGTGGAAAAAGAGGGGTATCTGAATGACGGCTGGCCCACACGCGTTCGCTCTAAGATAGCGGCGCGTGGGATTCTATACACGGGATGACGTCTCCATGGTGCAAGCCACACGAAACCTCAAGATCGAGAGGCCTCTGCACCGAAAATGCGGTGCTTCAGCTCGGCAACGTACCCGTAAAAAAGGCAGCCATGAAGGCGAAAGCCAGCCCTAGCCATCTCTGGTCATCCATTGTGCTTGTTGCAGATCTTGCCCTTAACGCTAGGAGCCATGCCGCTGCATCCCACAGGAAGACGGAGGGGCCCTAGGGGCCCCTGTAGGAGAGTGCCTCTAAACGGGATCTACCAAAAGAGAGAGAGAAAGCTTGCAGCCTTTGATTTTTCAGTGAGACTTTCGCTCCTGCTAGGCCTGAAGCCGCTCAGCCGTCAGCGGTGCGCGTGTTGTGTGGCGCCAGCGCACAAAGCGAAGCCGCGTGCGGAATGTCATGAACAAAGGAAGTGAAAATTCAAACTCGCGAAGGCAGGGGTTGGGGGGCCCCTAAAAGGGCCCTGCCTCCCTGTGGGTGCCGGTACTTTTCGTGGCTGGGCGCTGCCCGCGTTCCTGTGGCCAGGAGGCCCTTGAAGATGGCCCCCCCCCCGACACGGAGTGCATTGTAAAGGCCGCTTTTGCCCTGAGTAAGACTCAAAATATGAACAGAATGATTGAAAACATATGGAAACGCGTTTGGGAGAACGCGTTTTCCGCCGGCAAAAATGTCGAAGGTCACGCGGGGTGCTCGCGGGCCAGCAAAACGAACATATCGAGCACCTTCCGACTGTATGTGTCACCCCCGTTGCTCTTACTACTCCTGCTGCGCTCACACTTTTGCTGTTGCTGCTGTCGCACGCGGTCGAACTTTTACTGCGGCTGTCACGCACAGTCTTGCTGCTGCCTCTCGGCTAGCTTCAGCCGCCTCCTTCTGATGAGCCTTGTCGGGTGCCGCTTTGGTGATGCGCTACATGGCGCCAAGGAAGCGAAAAGCACACGCGGCAGCAGGAAGGGAGAAAGGCTGCCCACGGAAGGGGCCCCCCGAACGCGAGAATCATGAGACTTGCTGCAACAGAGAAACCGGGGCGGCCATCAATGCCCTTTAGTCATCTTCGTCTCTCACACTCTGCCTTCCTCACACGCACCCTGTGCTTCGCTGTCACATGCTCCTGCTCTTTATGGGAGAACAGCCTCAACAGGCAAAGTGCCTTTCCTGGCGCACAATGAACTTGTGCCGCCGCATTAGAACCTCCAGCGTTGCGAGAGACCCCGTAAATCCGTTGCATTAGCTCGGTACCTAGTGACTGCCGCCAGTGCAGCAGCAGGACAGTAGCGACCGTGGCAAACAACCAGCCTTCCTGCAACCTCTGGCAGTCCTAATGTAGAGAGAATCTCAAAACACTCTCGTGGATGCCTTAATTACAGATGAGACCCTTCTAAGGGCCACAGTGGCCCTTAGAAGGCCTTCTACGTAGCGGGCCACATCAGTCGCAGCGAGCGTGCGACAGACGCCTTCTACCGCCGTACAGCTTCCCTGCTATTCCACTAGCGATAGAACATCATCCAAAGGAAATTTTCGAGCAGCAAACAGCGACTGGCTGCAACGGTGGCATATGCAGCAGCAGGCAGAGAAGCTACACTGTAGCTAGAGAAGGACTAGGATACCTCGTATCTGCTTTACAGGCGATCCCTGTTGCTGCAGAGGCAAACACCAGCTGGGCCCCCTGGGGCCCCCATAGCTGCATTTAAAGCACAGGCCCTTACCAGTACCTCTGGTAATTGTTGCGCGCCTTTAAGGGCTTTAGAAAAGCAGCACACCGATCTCCCTGATCTAGTTGTGGCAACCTGTCATCGAAATTCCCCCCGCCCTCTCTTCTACGTGGGAACTTTCCTGGGAATCACCAAACTACTCTTCACCCTCCCGACGACACCCGATGCAGCAGCCACCTGCCTCAGATGTACGGGCTTTGTCGAGATAATGGGAGACCATAAGGTTGGAGTGGCTTCTGTTTTATAGGCAAGGTCCCATATTGCAGTAGTGACTGAAATGTTCGGGGCGCTATGGGGAAGGAAACACCCTAGAGGCCGCACTAGCAGAGACTCGCAACGCAGCACTTGCCTTAGGACGCCTTGGAGAAGTTATCTGCAAACCTCTTCAGGGCGCCTCTTGACTCAGAGCGTAGAGTGACTTGGAAGCGTCCCCGTGGGAAAGATTTAGGTTCTTTCGATAGAGATTCAGCCTCTGCTTCTTGGTGCAGTTGCAGTCAAAAGGATTTTCCCCTTTACGGTTTCTTCAGAGCTCCCTGATGAGCCACCCTAAAGGCTCCTGTGGTACCGTTAGTTATTTCACACATTGTGTAGGGGTGCTCGATCCCAGCAGCACTATGTAACCTAGAGGATCTCTGTAGGGAGCTGTCTTTCCATTGCGGACGGAGTCTTGCTTTAGTGTTCCCAGCAGCAGGTCGGCAGGAATCCTCTTTAAAGCCCACTTAGGAGCCTTACAGGAGACCCTCTCAAAGACTTTCGACCGGAATAGAGTGTGTCAATATGACTGTTATTCCCTCAGTGAGAGCCCCCAGGTTACACGCTGATGGAGTGGTTCGCGCAGGTGCTTCCAAGGCTTTGGCGCACCCGTTTGTCCTTTGTTTGCCAGACGCCATTGCTGGTGTATCTCTTCTCGGATAAATGAGGCGACTGTACTTTGACTGAGGCATATTGATGGGTTGGAAGCTCCTGTCGGCAGCATTAGAAATACTAGGAAGGGCGATGTCAGCAAGGGGCCCCCATGAAGTGCTGCCTCTCGTAAAATTAAAGTGCTCCGTAGAGCGAACGCTTCCTGCATGTATGCATGAGGTCTCCGCATTCGATTCTGTTGCTGCTGCTACGCATTGCCGCTGCCAGGACTTCTGTTGCCGCCTCCATTGTTGGGGTTGCACGCTGCGACAGTGACGAGAAGAAAGGGGCACAGCACTCCTCAGCAGAAAAACAATCTTCTTACGTCGTTACACAAGGGCAGCTCTCCGAGCTTTAGGGTTTCAGTGCCCCAATAAGCATGATTCTTCCTCCTATCCTTTAGGAAGTCCAGAGCAGCCCAGAAGTTTTTTGTGAGCGCTAGTAGAAGGCACCTTTGCGTGATATCCAAGAGGGTTCTATCAGCTTCTTGGGCCTCAAGTGCGTGCGTGCTCATGTTTCCGAAGGAGGCTCCTCCAAGGCTGCAATGCAACGGTCATAAATTTGTCGAGATGACCCTCCTTCAGTTTCCTCTAACCGTAGTCATAACGGTTTTCAGATTACCCCGGAATGATTCCGAACGGTAGATATTTGAGAATCACATTGAGGCGTTGGTCTAGGCTGGCAGGCGGCCAGTGGGTGCCTAAAGCATCGAATGCCCTCTTATTACTACGAAGTTCTGCTGCGTCGAAGATGCAGGAAGAAACGACACCCAGAAACCCCACCTCTCGGTTTTTGCTGTTCAGTATGCTACTTTGATACCTAAGAAACGTTTTATGGGGGGCTTCGTATGCCGCTGTGTAGCACTGATCCAAAGGGCAATGTGCTTTTCATCTCCGTGTTGAATAGATAGAGTCCTCTTCCGAATTCTATAGGAGTAAAGGCGCAGTACAGCAACATAAGCTGAGCCGCAGCTCCCTCAGCTGCAGCAGTCGCCGACAACTATGGCGGAATTCGCCTTTTGAGGCTCTGCTGGAAGCGACAAGCTTTTCTAGGACAGCGCCCAAAAATACTGGGTTTCGCCATTTTGTCGACATGTCATATTTTCAAGACGAGTGAGAGTGTTTTCTCATCGGTAAATCGCAGCGGTTCAGCAACTGTGTTAGCTGAGTGGCCTTCGCGTTGCCTGCTATCCAGTTCAGCTGCCGGTTTGCTTGTACAGCGAGGCTTTGCATGCCACTGGTTCGGCGGTCTCGCACACGTCGGAGTGCTATCCTGAGGACAAATGCGCTGCCTCACCAGAGCTTCTGAACCTCCGAGGTTTTTAAAAATACCAATGTACAGTGCATCCTGGCGGGCGTTGCCCCTGTAGGAAAGATTCGGCACGTGACGATGCGGCGCACACAGAAAAGCGTGTAGTCCTCCTGGTGTGTCTCCCAAGCCGGCCCTAAAGCAGAGCTAATTGTGTTGCCTGGAGTGAAGCATGGAAAGCAACAAGCTGAAGGAGTTTCAAAGAAGGTTTTCTCGTAAACACATGCACGCGTCCTTTGCTGTGCTGTAATAGGTCAAGTTTTGGCATGACCATCCTTCGACCCCATTTTTGTGCTACTCGCCAGACAAGGAGAATCACACTTGTGTTTCCCTAGAAGCCAATAAAGGATGACATAACAAAGGGCTTTTGAGCCAGGAGGGAGGAAATCTGTGTGCTGTTGGTCTGCGTGAGTCAATTTCACTGCTGCTCCAAGAGGAGAGATTTCCAGCACGCAAGAGGCCTCTGCGTCTCTTCATAGATTTCTTGGAACGCATAAGGACCGATATACAGCGCCATGCTGCACGATGCAGCGCACCTATTTACGCAGCTGTTGAACCCTCTCCTATCGTTTGATTAATCTTGCATTCTATGCGCTCGGCTGCTTCTCTCGCTGCAAACTGACTCTGATATTCTCAGGCTAGTATTCTCCAGGCGGAAGCTACCTGACGCGCGACAGAAGATGAATGACCGACCTCAGTGGCTTGCAGAGGGAAAAGCTATGCGTGGTATGTGTATATATTGGAAGGCCTCCAAACAACAGCTTGTCAATTCACAATTATCAAGCCAAAGCAGTGATTGGGATTTTCTAACGCCTATTCTAGGTTATGCGCAAATATGCATGTAGTGAGGACGTAGAGAGGGTCTTATTCTCTGGTCGAATAGTCCAGCTTTCATTGAAGCACGTTGATTGATCTATATATATATAAATATATATATATATATATGCATGCGGTGGCATTTCCTCGTTGCAACCACATGTGGAAACAGGTAAGCTTATCGGTGAACAAATGTTTACAGTAAGCGCGCTTTTAGTTGTACGTACAGCGATCGCCTTATATATCATCTCTGCCAAGAAGCATCACAAATACAGAGCTGTCTCCCTGTACACGCGTATACGTCTGCGACTTTCCGGTTGTGTTTTTTTCTGCTCTTCGAGGACAGGATTCTTCTAGTGAAGCAGTTCATGCCTTCACAGACATATTTGAGTTGACAACGCCGGCTCCCTTATGTACACTAACCACGGGAGATTACCTACCGGAAGCCTGTGGCGTCTATGATGAGATGCCTGAGGGCCATTTGTAACACACATAGGTGTACTGTGGTGTGTGCCATCTTGTATGGCCAGTAAATTCCTGCTGCCGCTTTCTATGTGTCTAAACTTTTCCTTGCCTGGCTAGCAGGGATGCGCACTGTTTTCTGTCCAGAGTTCGCGCTGTACGTGTGTGAAGGCGTGCAGAGAAATGAAAGCTTGTGGCGGAGTGGGGCTTCGCTGTGTTGAAGTGAACGCAGTAGCACATCTCAGTAGCGCTCCCCAGATGTGCGAAATGGCGGCAAAAAAATTGTTGTGTACCTATTTATCCCTTACTTGGAGATCCGCAAGGCCATCAGCACGCTGCAGCTGGCCCCTTTGAAGCCGCCTTACGCGAGCCAACAGGAATGCCGGAGGCGAGCAAGTCCAAGCAGCGCAACAAAAATATATATCCTGGGATACGTAGCGAGATGAATCTGACAGCTTTGAGGTAGCAAAGTTACTAGGGTAAGATCCGTCTTGCGTGAAGGGTGTGGCTACGCCTTTCCCAACAAGAGACGGAAATACAGAAAGCGCGGCCGACGCTATGAACATAGAGCATTTGATGTTGCCGCGAGCGCTACGAAGTGGCTGATAAAGAAGCGAGGCGATTCTTAGAAGGCTCAAGACCCCTCGGCGGGGTTTAGGATCAAAGGGCAAGGCACATCGGAGCATGTTACTGCGCCTGCTCGTGCTGAGCGGTGCAGGCGGAATGTGTGGCCTTATTCGCCGTTCTGGATTCAGACCTGTTCTAGCGCGCGGACTAGCAGCATATCTGTTGCCTGATGAGTACAGACAGTCTGCCTACATACAGCCCTACAACCTCCTGCACTGGGAGCTAACTACACGGCTTGCTTTCCTAGGAGAGAACGTCTCCCTCTGAGTGCCCCTTCGGCCAGAGGAGTATGCCGAACTCAAGCGTCGAAACAGTCTCGCTGCAGTGCGTTGGGATCGCACGCGAGGCCACACGCGACGAGCTGGATGCACAGGGGAATCTGCCGCTTACTGTGTAGTAGTAGCAGCTATACACGTGTATTAGAGGATGCATGCATACGCGTCTTCGCTTTTACTAGCCTATCCGTATGCGAAACACCACGGGTAGAGAGGCACACTCAATACATGGGAGAAAAACGCCACGGCAGCAGCCGCGAATACAGAACAACCGCAAGTTTTGAGGCCAGCAGAAGTGACTACAGGAGAATGCTGCAAAGCAGCAGGCGTCTGGCGATGTACAGACCCTGTTGCAAACAAAGCTTCCAGAGCATCCCTCTTTCGTGGTTTCGAGATCGATCTTCCTGTTGGGAAGAAGCCTCGAAAGTGTGTGACACCTGAACTCCCACTGGCTGCTTCCTCTGCTTTCCAAGAGGGCTGCCGTGCACCTGGCTGGCCCCCCTCCAGGCAAGCAGGAGAGCCGTAGATTTTTTTTCGCATTCCTAAAATTCTTCCCGAGAGTTCGAAAGCGACTGCAGCCCCCGCATAAGGACGCCACCACCTCCAACAGACGACGGCTATGCCGGCGAGCTGCAAAGAGTGATTTTAATCGCGTGAATTTCCTCGCGCGCCTTGCCACTTTTCTTCCAGGGAGAGAGACTATCTACGTGTTGGATTGCCCCAGCAGGAGGAAGGCTACTCCACGAGGCTGTCAGTTGTTGGCAGCAGCGTCGGCGCTTTCGACTGCTTCCCACTTTCTCCGAATGCTTTGAAGCGCAGCAAGCGTAGCAGCGCAGTGCAGCCCAACACCGTCAGGGCCGCCTGTGTGTGCGACATCAGCCCTTGCAGCAGCAGCAGCAGCTGCTGCTGCTGCTGCTGCTGCTGTGCAACTTTCGCGGTGTTTTATAGGGGGCCCTTCACCACCAGCGCTCGCATGCTCCCTCGGCAATCCGAAGCTTTTTCCAAGCATCCCGCTGCATGCAGCAGCCTTCACAGCCTCCTCGGCCTTGTCTTGCGCAGCCTCACCAGAAGTGCCTCCCACAAGTCCATCTCCACAAATCAGGGAGAACGACGGAGACGAGCCGCCGAGCGACTGCGGGGCAGGAGCCTCCTGCTGCTGGCGCTGCCTTTCGTCAGCCTCCTTTGCAACAACAGCAGTTGCAGCAGCAGCTGCAGCAGCAGTTGCTGCTGTTGCTGTTGCTGCTTGGTTTGCAGCAGCAGGAAAAGCAGCAGCAGGAGCAGCAGCAGCTAGTCGCAATTGGTGCACCACACATCTGGGAAGAAGAGCCCCCATGCCTTGCAGTGCGGCGGCTAGGCTTACAAGGGCTTCCTTAGCGACTTCCCTGCAAGCCGAGGGTTGCAGAGCAACGCAACAACAGCAGCAATTGCTGCTGCTGGAGCTCGAGGAGGCAGCCGCAGAGAGTAAGGCGTTGCAACAGGTGCAGCTGCAGCAGCTTCCATCGCTGCAAAACGCCGGAGCGACTCCCAAGGAGAGAGCAGCCGTCGCTGCTGCTGGGCTGGCACAAGGCTGCTGCTGTTGCTGCTGCTGCTCCTGCTGCTGCTGTTGCTGCTCCTGCTGCTGCTGTTGCTGCTGCTGCTCCTGCTGCTGCTGCTCCTGCTGCTGCTGCTCCTGCTGCTGCTGCTGCTGCAGCAGCTGCTGCAAACACGAATCCGGCACAGACAAAGGGCTCAAGTCCTCGCTGTCTGCTGCGAGAGCATCTTGCTGCCGAAGAAGCTGGAGCAGCACGGAGCTTGGCTTGTTGCTGCTGCTCCCCGCAGATGTCTCTGAGAGAAAGGCGGTGGCAGCATTTTCCGCTGCTGCAGCTGCCGATGAAGAGACTGACGCTCTCCACGGCGTGACTGGGGGTGTAAGTAGTTCTGCATGCTGCAGCAGCTGCTCGCGATGCATCTCTGGCGCAAAAGTTGCTTCCTCAGAAAGAGACGTCCTGAGAGGCCTCTCCACGGGCTCTTGCTCTTCTTGCTGCAGCATCAGCTGCAGCCGCTGCATGTGGTGCTGCTGCTGCTGCTTTCTGGCTGCAGCCAATCGCTGCAGCCGCCTTGCTTCGAGGGCGCATGCACGCGTCCGCGGCGCGACTGTTGCCTGAGCCAGCAGCAGGAGAACCTGCTGCTCGGGAGAGTCACAGAAAGTCTCCTCGTTTCCAGAAGGCGCAAGGAGGCGAAGGCAGCGCCAACACTGCAGCAGACAGTCTACAGCGGAAGTCAACAGCTGCCTGCGCTCCTGCTGCTGCTGCTCTTGTTGCTGCTGCTCTTGTTGCTGCTGCTCTTGTTGCTGCTGCGCTACAGTGCTGCTGCTGCAGCCTCTTCTGCTGCAACAGGGCCCTAGCCAACCGGGGGAGCTCTCGGAGACGGTGCCTGCGTTTGAGGCTTCTAAGGCTGCAGCGCCTGCTGCTGTTTCTGCTGGTGCACTCCTTGCTTCGACTGCCGTTCTCGGGAATGCTTCAGCCTCGGAGGCATCAGCTGCCAACGTGCATCTGGAAAGGCCTGCCGCGATCGCAGCAACGCACTGCAAAAGCAGTTTTTGAACTTGCCAACGCTGCCGCTGAGTGCTCTCCTGCCCGCCCCCCCCCTCTTGCAGCCGCTTCAGCAGAGGAGGCAGCAAGTGATCATGCAGCAGATGCAGCAATGCGGCAGTGTATCCTAGATCGAGGGCAGCTAACAGCAGCAGCCACTGCCACGGAGGCGCCCCCCCCGCGAAAGTCGCGAGCTGCTGCGCTTCTGCCGCTGCTGCCGCTTCTGCAGCAGCGAGAATGCAGCTCAGACGGAGATGCAGCAAGCAGAGGAAAGCGCTAGTCAGGTCTATGGGGAAGGCGCGAGACGCAATGCTGAAGATGCTGCTGGCAGTATTTGCTGAGCTTGCTGTGCAGTCGCTCCGGATAGAGTCGCAGGATGCATCGCCTTCACATCCTGCAGAGGTCGTCAATGCCTGCGCCTGCCGCTGCAACGCGTCGCTGGTCTTAGAGAGGCAGCAGCAGCTGCCATGCTGCACAATTCTCAGCTCCACAGCCCTGCTGCTACTCACGTTCCGGTGTATGGACAGCTGCGTTGCTGCTGCGGCAAGCAGCAGCACCTGGCGCTGCTGCTGCGGGGGGAAACTGCCGAGCCGCGTTAACAGTTCAGACGCATACATACACAGAAAAGACAATGCCTCAGTAGGGAGTAAAGGCGTACTGCTGCATATGTTGTTGTTGCTGTTGCCGTTGTTGCTGTTGCTGCTGCTACTGCTCTCTCTTCCGCTAAGCGCTGCAAGCATGCAGTCCGCGTCTGTTGCCATCGCAGGCACTTCGAACTGCCACCCACTGCTGCTGCTGCTGCTGTACTTCTCCTGCGCTGCATCGAATAGCCACTGCAACACCGTTAGCGGCATGAGGCATCGTGCTGCTGCTGCCACAAGGGGGGCAACAAGAGCTGCAGGTGTCTGCCTTATGTCTGCCACGCCTCTCGCTGTCGCTGCAAGAGGCTGAACAGGGAGCCAGGAAATACAGCACATACTTCCAGACATTTGAACGGCGTGTTGCTGCTGTTGCTGCTCCTGCTGCTGCTCCTGTTGCTGTTGCTGTTGCTCCTGCTGCTGCTGCTGCTGCTGCTGTTGCTCCTGCTGCTGCCCCATAAGCCACAGCGGCGGCAATGTCGCCGCTCCCTTCATAAGTAGCCGCTTCTGTTGTTGGTGGTTAGGGTGCAACACCATTGCATGCACGGCCTCTTTCAACCTTTCATGAAGCGCAAAAGCATCTCCCCAGGGTGTCTTTGCAGCTGCGGCAGCGTTTTCTGCCGTCGCATCAGAGCGCATGCATTGGCAAAGAGCCTTCGCAGCAGCGGCTGATAAGTACAGCAGGAAAGCAGCGAGCATCTGCCACCCCTTGTATGCAGCCACCACGAACAGAATCTGCAGCGCCTCCCGATACACTCCAAGAGCCCGTGCAGTCGTATGTCTTTGCTGCTGTTTTTGCTGCAACAGCATCCACAAGTATGGCTGAAAAAGCCGTTTGCATCCGCTGAGAGCCGCTGCTTCAGTCCACTCAGCACTGCTGAGGTTGCCTTTCAGCGTGGCAGCTGCGCCTACGCCTCCTGAGAGCTTGCCAACAACACCAGCAGCGGGATAGAGCGCGCACAGTGAATACAAGAGAGCAGCAGCAACCAGCAGATTCAGCTGCTCATCGTCAGTAGCGTTCGAGAGAACTCTCGAGAACGCAGCTGCTGAACCCTCACCCTTCGAACATGCTGTGCGTATTACACTGCCGCCACTGCTCGTGTTGACACTGATGCTGCTTGTACTGTCACCATCCTTTTGGACGTAAGAAAGACAACCCCCCACAATAGGTCCATCCCCAGTGCTGCCTTCCCCGCTGCTGTTGCTGCTGTTGCTACGCACACCCTCACGAGAAGCCTTCAAAATGCGAATCTCCCTATCGCCAACGCCTGTAAACGTCTCTGCTTGCACTGCTGTTGATGTACATGCAGTTGCTTCGGCGTGCTCCCCTGCATTCTCGAAAGCTCCTTCTGTTGCTGCTTGCACACCACGACCCTTCCTGCAGACAGGCTCCTCCTCCTGTTGCTGCTCCTCCTCCATCTGCTGCTCCTGCTGCTCCTGCTGCTGCAGCATCTCGCGTAGCTCTTGCTTCTGAGACACACAGCACATACCCACATAGCAAAAAAAGTATAGGCACTCCAAAGCCACACCACCTAGGGAGCCTTCAGGCCAGAAGCAACAAGCGACAGCGCTAGCAGCACACACGATCGCAGATGAAGAAGTGCATGACGCAAGAGAGGACGCCACTTACGCCGCTTTGCTGTATCTCTTTTGTCTTTGTATGAAGCAAACCCCGAGGAAGATCTGCTGTCTGAAAAAAACACACAAAAAACAGCAGCAACAGCAGCAATGCACTGCCGGAACGCAGACACGTAGCGAGCGCTGCCCTCTCATGCCTCTGCAGCAGCAGCAGCCTCTGCAGCAGCAACAACAACAGCCTCTGCAGCAGCACCACCACCATCTACAGGAGTAGGCGTGATAAACGCACTGTCAGTTGGCTGGAAACGGCGGCAGCAGCAGCAGCAGCAGCAGCCGCTGCTGCTGCTTCCTCTTTTAGATCCTCCGTTAGAGGTCTCACAAAGAGCTCCTCATCTAATGCGTATACCTCACATCCTCCTCCTGCATCAGCTGCTGCGTATGTAGCAGAATTCAGATCAACCAGGAAGTCTTGCTGCAGCAGTGCCGCCCCCAGCTGCTGCATGCGCTTGCCACCTGCTGCTGCAGCTGCTGTGGCAGCAGCTGCAGCAGCCGCTGCAGCTGCAGCTGCACCGTAACTACTCGACAGTTTCATCAAAGCACCTTCTCCAACTCCAGCAAGGCGTTCTACCTGTGCTTCTGCTGCACGGCGTCCTCGTAGCATCCAGTCTGCAGCAACAGCAGCAGCAACAGCCGTTCGCGTTGCAGTTGCAGTTGCTGCAGTTGCAGCTGCTGCTGTTTCTGTGGTTGTCGTTGCCGCCGGAGAGGCAGCACCAAGCAAGCTCGGAGGCGTTTCGTGCAACAAGTGTGGCAGCTGCTGCGTTTCCTCATCTGCAGCGGGCGTGTGGTCAGCTGCCTGTGCTTGCAAAGCATCCATAGCATCAGCATGAGGACAGACATCGCTGCTGTAGCTACGACTGCTGTAGCCGCTACTGCTACTGCAGCTCCTGCTGGTGTCAAACAGCGGAGCAGCCTGTGACGCTGCAGCATCGATTTCAGGAGGAACACCCCAGCAATCCGAGAGCAGCTGACTGAGAGCTTCCAGGAGCAGAGGCAACTGCTGCTGCAGCGGCTGCTTTTGCTGCTGCTGCTTTTGCTGCTGCTGCTGCTTTTGCTGCACAAGCACCTCCACACAGGAGCGAGCTGCCTGCACGAGTGTGCATGCGTCTGGAGAGTTAATTAAGTCCTCCAAGAAGTTGCTGATGCCGCTGGCGGCGTGAGAGCTGTCTCGCCGTGGGTAGCTGGAGGTGTCTGCAGTTGGAATTGCTGCAGAGGCTGCCTCTGCTGATGGCAGAGTGAGATCTGTGGAGCCTGTCAGTCCGCTGCACACGAGATCAGCGTCTTGGGGGGAGGCAGCACTTGCTGCTGCTGCTGCTTCGATCTTTGTTGCAGCACTCACGAAAGCTTTGGGGAAATGCCGTGCAGAAACTGCTGCGGGGAGCTTGCTGTAACTAGCGGCGCATTCCAACAACCCCACAACCCTTGCGTACTCCTGCAGCAGCTGCTGCCAGCTGCTGCTGCTGTAGCTGCAGGCCGGCCTAAGTTCTGCCTGTGCTGCTGCTGCTGCTGCTGCTGCTGCTGTTGGTGCTGCTGCTGCTGCTGCTGCTGCTGCTGCTGCTGCTGCTGCTGTGTGTCCTGCTGCATGCTGCTGCAGCAAACGCATCGTCAGCGTCAGGGGATAAAAGAAGGCAAGCGCTGCAACACTTTGTTTCTCTGCCGCTGCTGCAGATCTGTACATCCGAAAGGGTTGGTCAGAATTGCGCGGTTGTTGTTGATTTTGTTGCTGTTGATTGTGTTGCAGTTGCTGTAGTTGCAGTTGTTGTTGCTGTTGATTTTGTTGCTGTTGATTTTGTTGCTGTTGCAGATGCAGTTTCTGTTGCTGTTGTTGATTTTGTGGTTGCAGCTGCAGCTCCTGCAAACCCCAGTCTGCTGCTGCAGCGTCACTTACTGCGTACCGAGCGCATGCAGCGACGGCAGCAGCAAACCAGCAGCAACTGCTGCGGCAGCCCCTGTCGACTCCACCAGTGCAGCTGCAGCAGGGGAACTTCGAGGCTTCTAGGGAGTCGAAGCTGATGTCGTCACATCCGCGTAGATTGCGGCTGCTCTGCGGCGCTATCCGCATTTCTGCAGCGGCGCTTGCTGCAGCGGCAACGGCGGGAAGAAGAGCCTTCACCAATTTCAAGGGGGCTGCAGCGAACCACAGGCTTCTAAGCCGAAGCAGCGCAGTGTCTCCCTCGCTGCGATGCACTAGCAGACAGCAGGATAGCCGCTTGTCACAGGAGACGCATGCAGGGAGGCTCTCGAGCTGCCACTGCAGAAGCACCGCGCTGGTGTGCAAGCCAAGAAGCTGCACTGCTGCTGCTCTGCTCTCTGCTGCCGAAGAAAAAGTATCCTCCTGTTGATTCCAGCAGAGAAGAAGATGCGGCGCGATAAAGCCGATACGCGCACCCACTAGCCCTTTCGGGGGGTGATAAGAACAACAGCCTTCCACTGCTCCTTCTGCTGCAGTGTCTGCCTCCTTGTCGCCTGTGCGCCTCTCCAGACAGGTGTCTTTCCTAGCAGCGCAGCCAGCCTCTCGCAGTCGCAAAGTTGCGATGACTCCCCCCCGTAAATCAGCAACCCACACCCGTGCTCCTGGCCGTACAACGAAGATTGCTTGTTGCTGCTGCATTTGTTGTTGCTGCTTTTGCCGTAGCTGTTCTTTTAGCTGCTGCTGCTGCTGCAAGGCAGGAGGCATTAACCCTGCCACGGCGATATGAGGCCCTTCGTGCGGTTTGCTACCAATAGGATGCACTAAGGTGTTGTCGGGTGGGGAAGAAGCATTTCGCGAGATTGGATCCAGCAGCACAAAGTTGCGTGTGCCTGCAGAAATTAGCAGCACTGGAGAACGGTCGTCAAAGACAACCTCCAGGGAATGCACGGTGTCTATTTTGACGCCTTCTCTTCCGTCTTTGGGAGTGTCTCTCAAGCAGCAGAAGCTGCTGCTGCCACTCAGAAGGCAGCAAGCACTTTCCCGCTTCCTCAGACACCACCACAAGGGCAGCTCGCGGCAGGCTGTGTTTTTGCTGCCCTCTGCGCTGCTGCCGCCGCTACGCGCGGCAGCAAGCGTCTTCTGCAGCAGCAATCGAACCCGCCACACACTTCCCCCCGCATCCCCGTAAAAGACAAAGAGCTCCTCTGCAGCTGCTGCTGTCGTGCCTCCTGCTCCTGCTGCTGCTGCTGCAGCAGGAGCAGGAGCAGCAGGAGCAGCAGCAGGAGCAAGAGCAGGAGGCACGACGCAGTCGCAAGTAGTCACACAGCGAATAGGCGGAGCTAGTGCTCCTTCGTCTCTTCTTCCTCCTCGCGTCGGAGCTCGCATTTGAACGCTCGTTTGCGCTGCTGCTGCTTCCTCTTCTTGTTCTTCTTCTTCTGGAGACGGCCGCACCAGCGGTGCTCCAACGTTAAGCCCCTTCGCTGGATTTCCCCCCCCCCCAACAAAGTCGTCGCAGCTGATGAGTGTGAAATCCAGAGCGCTGTTGAACGTCATCAGAGTGCTGACGCTGCAGGAAAGGCTCGAGAAGCAGCCTCCTTGCGGCAGCTGCAGGGAAGGCATCGGTGTCGGGGCAGAGCCGCAGTCGAAAGCAGAAAACAGAACGGCAGCAAAGAAGAAGAGTCTCCCCGAAGTATCCCCTATGAGCAGCAACACAGGCTTTCCAGCGTCTTTTGTGCCGCTTGCTCCGCCACAAACGCCCGCAAAATGCAGGCACGAAATGCCACTTGCAGCTGCATAGCCACTTGCATTCACTGGACGCCTATTTGGGGGGGGTTCATGCACTTTCATGTACTGCTCTTCCTCCTTCTCCTTCTCCTCTTTCTCTTTCCCCTTCTCCTGAGGCGGGAGATCGCGCGAATCGTGAGTACACTGCGTGGCGACTGCAGCGCTAGCAGCAGCTTCCTTAGCTGCAAGCCCACTCTCTCGAATCGTGGGAACAAGAGGCAGCAGCAAACGAGCTACTGGCTGCAAAGGCTGCATCGGATGGGGACGTCTGCAGCAGTCAGAGGCACCAGCAGAACAAAAAGGAACAAAGGGAAAACACTGCACAATTCAAAACGGCAACGAACCTCGTAGCAGCAGCACATACAGAGAGCGAGAGAGACAGAGAGACAGAGAGACAGAGGAAGACAGAGAGAGAAAGACAGACAGAGAGACAAAGAGAGAGACAGACAGGCTTATACAGAGAGAGAGAGAGAGGCTTATCCAGAGAGACAGACAGAGAGAGAGACTTATACAGACACAGACAGACAGACATACACACACAGAAAGAGATATATAGATAGACAGATATACACCCACAGACAGACATACACACACATGCATATACATACACATACATATACTTACACATACATATACTTACACATACACATACATACACATACATGTACATGCACATACATACACATACATATACATATACATACACACACATACATACACAGACAGACATGAACATACACATACATACACAGACATATACATACACATACATATACACACACATACATATACATACACATACATATACATACATATACATACACACACATGAACATACACGTACATGTACATACACATACATACACACACATACATACATATACATATACATACACACACATACATACACATACACAGACATATACATACACATACACATACATATACATACACATACATATGCACACACATACATATACATACACACACATATACATATACACACACATACATACACAGACAGACATGAACATACACACACATGCATATACATACACACACACATACACACGCGCATAGATACACACACAAACATAGACATACAGACAGACACAGGTAGCAGCGGCTCACCTCAAGAGTAGAACAACGCCTTCATTGCTGCCAATGGCAACGAGGCTGTCAGCTGTAGCAACACATGTTGCAGCAGGCAAGGCAGCCTCAGTGCTGCCTTGCCTGCTGCTCTCATGCTGCTGCTTAGGACTGTCGTAAGGAGCAGTCGTCTCTGCAGTTGCTGCAGTTGCTTGGCAATGCAGGCTGCAAGGCGTACTGTCTCTGCTGCTGCAGCGTCGCAGCAGAGACAGCGGCAGAGACTCCACATAGTCAAAGCAGCCCAGCCCCCTCATCCTGGTTCCGTCGATGTTGCTCTTGATGATGCTGCCATGCTGTTTGTACACTCGCTAATGCTCTCGAAGGCGATCTTTCTCCCTGCAGGATTACGATTCCCAGCGTTGTTGCTGCTGCCGCTGATGCACTGCTTTTTGGAGCTGCTGGTGTTCATGTGTCTGTATAGATACATAGATGTACATAGAGATGTATATATATGTACAGATCTATAGATGCGTATCTATCTGTCGGTGTCTGTGTGTAAATATATGTGTGTGTGTTCGCTGTGGGTGGGTGGGTGTCGAATCCAGAGGCCATCACTGCATGAAGTCTCCGTTTTTCTGCTGCTTCAAGGCTTCGCATGCCGTTTGCAAGGGGTGAATCGCCTTCTCCCCCCTTTCCCTCCCTACACGGCTTGCTGCAACTTCTGCTTCTTCGTCAAAAGGCTGGAGGTGTGCCTTCGAGACGGACGGCAGAAGATGCCGAGCTCGCGAATTCGACCAATTTCCTGTGCAGAATTATGGAGAAGGCCGTTGAGGCAGCACGCCAAAGCGATGATGTGCAGCACCTCTACACCATGCTTTTATTGTCACACTGCCTCGTGAGAGGCTAACCACAAAGAGAGAGAGAGCTAGAGAGAGAAAGAAAGAGAGAAAGAAAGAAAGCGAGAGAGCGAGAGAGAGGTTTTCTGCAGCGCAAGAAAGTCGGAGAGCCTCCTAAGACAAACCCGCGAGAGAAGTGGATGTTTCGCAAAACAGGACCAGTGGTAAATCAGGCAGAAAATGCTTTTTTCTCAGCATTTTTAGCCTCTCCCTCACACCAGCCTAGCAACACTAGCAGTGCGAACGCAGCAATTGAAAGATCACACAGTTGCCACTGCCGACTCCCACAGAGGCTGCCGGGGTGGGGGGCCCCCCCCACTTCGGTAGGAGAGGGGGGGGCCCCCTCCATTAACCCCCGTTCCTTCTTTTTATGCCTTTAGTAGGGAACCGATAATACTCTGGTCTTGATGTGTCTTTCTTTGCCGCAGAATAGCGCTTGCAATTTTGAGGCATAGCCTCAGAAGCAGCAGACGGCTGCAAGCGCCGTTGTAGCTAGCTCCTCCTGCTGTTACTCCTGCTCCTGCTGTTACTCCCGCTCTTGCTGTTACTCCCGCTCTTGCTGTTACTCCTGCTCCTGCTGTTACTCCTGCTCTTGCTGTTGCTCCTGCTCCTGCTGTTGCTCCTGCTCCTGCTGTTACTCCTGCTCCTGCTGTTACTCCTGCTCCTGCTGTTACTCCTGCTCCTGCTGTTACTCCCGCTCTTGCTGCTACTCCTGCTCCTGCTGTTACTCCTGCTCCTGCTGTTACTCCTGCTCCTTCTCCTTCTCCTTCTCGCAGTTCTTTGAGAGGCAGACACCTCCGCTGCCAGCGACGCGATGGGCAACTGGAGCAGCTGCAGCAGGAGGAATAGCAAGAGGCGAGTCGATTTGTCTGCCTCCCCAGCGGCTGCTGCACCCGTCTGGCCTGTGCCTTTCTGTGCTGTTGGCGTCTCTGTCGAGTACTGCTGGAGCTGGAGGGAGTGAGAGAGGAAGACGTAGGGGGGGAAAAGGGGGGAGAAGGAGGCCATATAGACGCACTCTCTGCCCCCAGCAGCTGCATGCGCTGCCTCAACGATTGCTGCTGCTGCTGTCACGAAAAGAGCGCCATCGCGAGCAGCAGCATGACGATCCCTCAGCTTCACCGGCTTGGTGCACTGTCAGCGCAGCAGCTGCCTCCTGGACGCTGCAGGATCTTTAGCGCGACTCTGCGTCTTGACATGCCGCAAAAAAAGGAACCTCTGATGCAGCGACTCTCCACGTTGTACAGCAGCGGGAGAGAAGCAGCAGAAACAGCTCTTGGAGGGGCAGCAGGGAAACTGCCAGGAAGCTACTGCTGCTGCCACAAGCAGCGTCTACGCCGTGCCTTCTTTGTTGCCAGCCTCCATCACCAGACGGACGCAAAGCTGCCCTTCCAAAAGCCTCCTCTTTCCCCCTCCCTAGATCGCACCGTATCTGCGTGTTTGCCTGTCGAGGCTCTCGAGGATTTGGTCGGAAGTCACAAAGAAGACTCTTCTCAGGAAAAGAATCACGCCTGCAGCGAAAAAACTGCTGATGATGATGCCTCACTCCATGTATCGCTTCTGCTGCGTCCTCCTTCGGCAGGCTGCATCGACAGCAGTCTCTCACTCCCTGCAGCAGAAGCAGCTTGGAAACATCATTCCTCTCGAGAAGACAGCGCTCCTGGCGAGACAGTCGGAGCACCTGCTCCCCCCCTCCCCCCTCCCCACTCAGTCCCTCCGAAATCAGCCACTGCCGAAGCAAAACGCTTTGCTGCTCTGCCGTCTGACGACTCCACGCTGAAGGAGCTGCTGCTGTCGCTACAGCAAAGTCGTGGGCGTGCTGCATACACTGGAGAGGAGGAAGTGCTGCTGCTTGAAGGGGCAGCCGCTGATTGCAGCCTCCTCTCCGCTTCCGCAGGTATGCTGCCACTGCAGTCTCTCTCCCCTCGCGAAAATACCTTAACATGGCGCAGATGCTCAGAAGACCTCTCCCCCTCCCCGTTCTGCTGCTGTCTTTTTAGGCGACAAACGCACGTCTTCTTGAGCTGTAGAGAGTCTCTCCCCAACGCGCTGTGTATTGTACGTCCATATGTGCATATGTATGTGTATTTTTGGCGCTTTGGTGCAAGGCTTCGCCTTCCGTCGAGCTGCACGTCGGCTTCAAGCAACAGGGATGCTGCTACAGCCGCACCAACTGCTGCGCTCCCTCAAGGCAGCTGCCAGTGCCGTCGCATTCCAACCGCTGGCTCCTGAGCTGCTCACCATGCTGCTGCAGCAGCTGCAGCAAAAGCTCGTCTACTTCTCCACGTATGCCAGTGCTCTTGCGCCTGCTGGAGCTGCTGCATTCGGCTGCTCCCCCCTGCCGCCCCCAGTTTCAAAGAATGCCTCTTCCCCTGTCTTGACGTGCCTCATGCTCCTACTCCTGCTCCTTCTGCTGCTATTCTGCTTCTGTGGCGGTCCTCGCTTTTTCGCAGGGGGGAATGCATGCAGCTGCTGAAGCTCGTTGGTGCTTTGGGAGCTGCATCCGCAGCCTTCCCAGCATCCAAAGCTTCTCCTTCGAATTCAGCGACAACAGCAATTGCGAGCGACTTCCCCGCGCTCACACAGCTCGAGTTATGGTACAGAAGCACCAGCATCAGCAGCAGCAGCCTACACGAGAACTTGCGTGTCTCTGTAGCCTTGCTTCTGCACCGGCTGCAGCGAGAAGCATCCACTCTCACTTTTGAGGAGACTCTGGAGGCACTCGGATCGCTGCCTGCTGCTGCGCCGGTAAGGAAGGGTGGGGGCTGGAGGAAAGGAAGGGGGCAGTTGGGAATTCTTGCATTCTGCCGCTGCCTCTCTCTGCAGACTTCCGTCTGTTGGAGAGTTTGCCCCCTACAGCTGCAGTCCTTCGGCTGCCCAACTGATGCAACGCGCCTACTGACTGTCTCCGCATTTTGCCAGACAGAAACTTACGTTTCGGCTGGACGCGATCTTGTTTCTGCGTTGCATGGATCGCCTTAACACGTCTCTCCTTCTTCTGCTGGTGTCGTGCTGCTACGCCCGCAGGATCTTTCGAAGGCGCAGATTGCGGCGCTTGTAGACGCAGTGTATCTCCACCTCCTGAGGCGGCAGCAGCAGCCACCCTCGAATCAGCACGCGGCACAGAAGCAGCAGGGGCAGTACGTGCAGCAGCAGCAGCAACAGGAGCAGACGCAGCAAAAGCTGCAACAGGAGCAGTACAAGCAGCAGTTTCCCCCGCTTCGGCACGAGCCGCAAGCGCATCACCCCTACGGGCAGCTCGCGGCTTTCTTGCGGCTTGCCGATTTCGCCGTTGCAGTGTTGCAGCAAATGCTACCATCCCCTCTGGACGTGTTGCAGCTGCAGCATTTGGAGGCGCAGCGAATGCAAGAAGGCTCCCGTATGGAGGATGCTCCAAGAGAGTTGGCTCCTTCGGGAGCCTCTCCTCGAGCTTACAGCGATGCGACAATGTCAGGAGAAAAAAAAATCGAAGACACAGACGGCGGCCTGCCTCTGTTACTGCTGCAACGGGTTCTCTGCTTTTCGGGAGCATGTCTTCTCGAAAAAGACGGGCTTGCAGACTCCCTCATGCCTCCCCCCTTGGCATGCAGGTATCTCTGACCCGCCGCACTTCCCCTCTTTCGCCCTTCTTTCCAGCTGCTACTACGCCAACAGTCGCTTTAAAGAGACACGTGTATATATATACATATGTGTGTGTGTATCTGTGTGTGTATATGTATATATATGTGCATATATATGCGTGCGCATGTGTGTATATATGTGCTTGTGTATATATACATATATATATGCGCGTGTCTGTGTGAATATATATATATATATATATATATATGCGTGTATATATATGCGTGGGTGTATATATGTATATATATGCGTGGGTGTATATATGTATATATATGCGTATATACATATATATATGCGTGTGTGTATATATGTATATATGCGTATACATATGCGTGTATGTGTGTGTTTGTGCAATGCAACGGCCGTCGCTGCTGCTGCTGCAGGTCGTTATTTGCCCTTGCAGCTGTCGAATTCTGGGCATGGTATGGGCACTGTGAGAAGTCGCCAGCCTGTGCCGAGCAACAATCCCCAAGGAGCAGTCCAACAGAAGATCTTCTCCCCCCCCCTTCCCCACTGGATATCTTTGCGCATCGCATGCAGCCCTCGGAAAGAGACAAAAACGAGGTTGCACTTCTTTTTGGCCGCCTTTGGTCAAGGTCAGATCAGACAGCAGCAAGATCGGATAGCAGCATGAACTGAAATCGGTTTTTCTGCGAACTCTTGGGCGCAGCTACCCTCTAGCTGCCTTTTACGCCTACCTCTTTGTGTGTTTGCCCATTCTCTTTGCGAAAAATTGTGTCTGCCGATGCAACAGGGCTGCTGAGATGGAAGCCGCGACTCCGGATGGAGCCACAGCGGCAGCCAGTACTGCCCTCCTTGCTGCCATGGCTATTCGTCACCGGCAGCTTTCAGCGAGGCAGCAGCAGCAGCAGCGGGAAAGAGCTCTTCGGCTTGCTCTGCCGCTGCTTCTGAAGTGCAGGGGCGATCTTTCTCTCCAGCAGCTTGTGACGGTGCGTCCTACTAGCAGCGCCGCACATGGACTCTCGACGCTTTGGGGTGTGTGTGTGTCTCTCTCTCTGCTCGAGAACTGCTTCTTCCGCCAACAGCCGCAGGGAAGTCTGAGGCACGGGCTGCTGCGCTTGGCACAAGGCGGCCCCTTCAAAATGCATGCGTGGGGTGAGGGTGGGGTGTGCGCAGGTCCTCGAGTGTATGGCGATTATGGGGCTGCATCACGAGCTGGCAACGGATGTATTCGCTACAGCCGCTGCTGAGGTGCTCCCTCAACAAGCCTGCCCTGTCAGTGTTTCTGCGTTTCCTGGAGATGATCTGAGCGTTCCAAGGCCAGATATCGCTACTTGGACGCTTCGTGCTTTCTACCACGGCTTGAAGCGGCTGCAACTCCCACAGAACGAGTATTACTTTCTTGAGGCAGTCCTTTCCTTTCTTTGCACGTGTAAGGAGCTCAAGTGTTTGCTTGCGCCTCACGTGTTGGCAAGTGCTCGCCTCTTGCTCTTAGAATGTGGCCTGGCAACTTTTACTTTCAACGAGGGACGTTGCTGCCAACGACTTTCCTGTGCATGTGCTGCTGTGCTTCTGCTGTTTCAGCCTTGCGAGCAGCCACAGCTGCAGCCGAGTGCGTTAGATGCGCGCTCCCTGCTACCGATTGTAACACAAAGTTGATACGGCTTCTAGCCCCCTCCATCGAGAGGCAGCTAGACGTTCTGGAAGACCATGTGCAACTTCAGCTGGCACAAAAGTCACGGCAGTGCGGGGCGCAGTGGAAGCCTTGTCCGGCTAAGCGCGCCTTGACGGAGCAGCATTTGCTGCAAGTGCAAGCGCTGCGTGCTGCACTGCAGTCTTTACAATCGGATTAGCTGATGCGCATGTGTTGCTCGAGTCGCTACTATGATGCGCTGCTGTTCGCGGCAGGCTGCGGTGCTTTTTTAAGATGCATAAAGGATCGAAACGCACACGCAGCAGCACCTCGTTCACGATGACGCACAGTTCCTCAACAGCGCATCTGTCTCGGCTTAAGATTAAACTTTGCGAGACCGCCGTCAGAGCACTGCATTACAGCTGTGTATCTATCGTTAGTTCCAGTAATGTCGACGTCTGCTGGGCTGGTTTTTAGTTTACGTCTTTGAAAGAATCCCGGATTCACAATAAAAGGACATACGCGTCATCACGTATATAGCACTATAAAAGTGTCAGTCCCCTGATTCCAAGAAGGTCCCTAACAAGATTGCGCAAACAAGCCTGCCTGTTCGTCTAGATCCTGGTAAAGAGCAAAAACCTTTGCTTCTTTACGTAACAACCAAGGATGACTCTTTGCCATCCTGTAGTGCTTCGAGCTCACAAATATCGCCAAAACACGTGAAGCTGTAGTGCCAAGGTTTTTAATGATGGTGTGCAAGTACTGAACCGAGAGATTCCATGTTGTGTGTTCTGCGTTGCCCAGATTGAGGTGTCTTGCCCTGCTCTTTCCGTGTTTGCTATTCTCGCCAGACTATTATGCCATATACTTCGTCTAGTTTTCTGTTGGGAATTTGCCTTTTAGCTCGCTTGTCTTACCTTCGTTCACTTTTTTCTTGTTTTACCTGTTGTGATGTCTTTGGTCTATCAAAGGCACGTGTTTCGGCTACATGGAAGAGCATCACGTACTACGCAGAAACTGTGTTTTGGGCAGAAAATAGCTTAGAGTCCATAAAAGATCCAAGCCGTTGATACGGGGCTTCGTTCGGCAAACACGAATTTGGGGTGTGAGGCCAGTGGTGGAGAGGAGGTCGCTCTTTAAGGTTTTCAGAAAAGAAGATATTACCACACAGCTTTCAGAGCACTCAGGGAGCAAATAACGCGTAGATTATCGAACGGAGAAGCTTTTGCAATACGTGAATGGGTGGATCTAATGTAATGCGCTTCTCTTTATTTTGGTGAAGAATAGCCCGGCGTTGGGCTGCAGGTCAACTGAACAGCTTCATGGAAGGCATCTGACAGAAGCGTCATGATATGAAAATGACGCTGCATCCTATGCTGGATTTTGCTCGCCCTCCTATTCGGTTTAATGCTACTCCGCAGTTTCGCACCCGATGACCATAAAAGCCGATAGTCGTGGCCGTGTGTAGGTCTCGCGTGGCCGATACTTTTTCATGAAGATACCCATCCTTAATAGTTTGTTCACGGTCATCGCGTTTGTGCTGCAGTAAGTAGAATTCCCTGTCTCCATAGTATATATATATATATACTCCCGTGAAGGAAGGCAATTACAAATCGCCCATAGCTCTAATATTGTAAAATGCCACATCTTCTGCCGGTTGCGGTACCAGTGTCAGTTCGGTCCGACGCACGCAGAGAACAAGGGTCATTCATCCAACACAGTACAGTGAGCACCCTAAATGCAATATCATGGCTTAGCAGCAGCTAGATCATAGACATACGAGCTTTAACTGCTTCTCCTGCGGCTCCCTTTGTTCGCTTGTCGGAAGATCAAAGGACGATGAAAGACTGTCAGAATAGCGTGTACCCTGTCGGTCAGGAAAACATGCCTTCACAGGGCTGTACGCCCCTTGAGTATTGGTTGATTTGTCTGGAGCCATGACGAGTTGGGCTGCAGACGGTCTCACAAACAAGCAAAAACCGCCTCTCTCTGGCCCATGCGATGGTAGACTAAGGGTGAGTGGCATTGCAAAGTGTGGAGAGACACATGCTGATTTTTTCCTGCAAACCTCTTGACGCTGCGCAAGGCAGCACAGCTAAAGAGCACCGCATTTTTTGCAGGGATGCATGTAGGCTGAGAGTCTGGTCAGTGCATCTTATAGAAGGGCAACTGCGATTCCATCCAGGCCAGGCAAAAATACGTCATGGGAAAGGGCAGTAAGTTGTGAAGCTCTCATAGCCAGCCGTTTCCAAGGAAATATATACCATCAACATAGCTCGAAGTATGCTGAGTATCTAGTGTAGTTTAGTGAGTACCCTTACGCAGCAGCAATACGAAAACTTCGAGGTAGTTTTCTTCGCAACAGCGAATGCTGCAAGAACTTGAACACGGAGAAAAGCCGCTAGAAGAAAGTGCGAGCCCACAATTGGCATCCCGAGTCAACGATGTCCACTTGCCCCAATTGCAAATCCGCCTTCGTTTAGGTCCCTTGCATGCCGTTTAAAACCTATGCTGCCTGTCCAAATACGGCCTCATCGCCATATAGTAGCATCGTAATTCGAAAGAAGCATTCAAGAGAACGGTCCACGCCGACTGATAACAGGAGAATGAAAAAAGAGAACGCTTTGATTGCCTGCACGCGATTGTTTCGTTGCTGGCTTGCGTATTCACTGTAGTTTACTACTATGTAGGATTGTGGAAGAGCCAAATTTTAAATAAATCTACAGTTACCTGAATTTATAATTGGAGGAAAATGCCTCAGATTTAGATCGAGAACTACGCTTCTAGAAAACAGGAGCAGAGAGAGCCTGCTTCCTCTTTGCCTCTAGTAGCTTTTGTATTATTTGAGCACCACAAGAGCCCTCAGGCCAAGCAGGAATTCGAATTTCCTGCATTTTGATAGGAAGTCAAAGTGAGGGGTTTAATTATTTTGTAGCAGATGCAACACGCCGAGCAGCGTCCAAGAATCAATTAATACGTGCTCAGTTTCGATTATGGTTCATGCCTTTTCCACCCCTTGTCCAAACACGCGTAACATTTCTTCATTTACTGTCGCAATGTCCTCATCATATTGCATGTCCGCCTGGAGGCCCTCCTGTTGCAGCAACTGCTGCTGCTGCATCCGCGGCAGCTGCTCGTCATGCTGCTGGACTACTGATGGCTGCTGCTGCACTACTGGTAGCGGCGGCTGCTGCTGCTGCATTCCATGCTGTAAGGGCAACCCCTGCCAGGCGTCCCATCCGTTCGAGGACGTCCTGGGGGAGGGAAAGAGAGAGCCTTGTGTAGCGGCGGGGGAAGGCGCAATGGGTTGCACACCCCTAGTTTGCTGCGGGAAGGTTGACGCAGTTGGGATGCTCCAGAACGGCTCTGTGGAGTGCTGTGGAGGCGCATAACTCTGTGCAGGGTTTGTGTAGTAGCGGTAATCCGGATCCTGCACGAAGGAGGGCACAAAAGCGCGCGAAAAAGCCGCAAAAAAGCTGCATGCGATGCAGTGTACGTGTACGGGCAGTCAAGAAGCACAGCTATGCGAACGTCCTGAACCACATCTCGCTGGTTTCAAGTTCAACACCCCTAATGAAAAGCCTAATTGCACGCCACGTTCAGCTGTCACCACTCCTCCCCATGAGGAGAAGCCAGCCCGCGAAAAGGGGAACCTGCTGCTGGAAGGGAAGGCGAAAAGCAGCCTCCTTGTGCGCTCTCTCGCCGCTGCCTACCTTGAGGTCTACCTCTGCACACGTGGACGAGAATTCAGTGCCGACAAGAGACATCCTGCCGCTAATTTTGTAGCTTTGTTGCGGCGTTGCTAGCATTCGCAAGTGAACATCAACAGTCTGCCCCGCGTTCACAGCCAGGGGGGGGCGCATCAACAGACGCAGCTGAAACCAATGCGTAGGGGGACCATCCGGCCCTGTGGTAAATCCAACACAGAAGTCAGAACCTTCGAACTCAACCGTGAACCAAGCTGCATTCAATGCACACACGCAACAATGCACTTTTTCTCTCGAGCACTCTATCTCTCACTCTTGGGATATGCAGCGTCCTCCTACGCAGAGAGAGACTGTAAAGACAGGTAAAACGCACAGCGAGAGGCCGCACAGAGACACAGACAGAGAGACACAGACACACAGAGACACACACAGACAGAGACACACACAGACACACACAGAGAGACACAGACACACACAGACAGAGACACACACAGACACACACAGAGACACACACAGAGACACACACAGACACACACAGACACACACAGACACACGCAGACAGAGACACACACAGAGACACACAGACACACATACAGAAAAGGCAGGCCGAACACGGGAGGCATCCAACCCGCGGAGTAGTGATCTATGGCCCCCCAGGAAAGTGTTCAAAAACACAGAAGCAGAAGCAGTAGGGGTTGGGGAGAAAGGAAGCACGCATGCATGCATGCAATTCCGAAGAAAGGCATACTGGCAACGCCGTGAAGAACAGATGGCGTCGTCACCTCGAAGGAGAACTTGAGATTGATCTGTACAAACGCATACATACATACATACAAGCCGTTTCCAAAGGATGCAAAAGAGGCGTCAGTCGATAGAGAAATGCATGATGGCGGTTGTGCAAGACACGAATGCCCCCCAAGAAAACTATTCAAAGTTGCGGGCTCTGCGGCATGGCATGCATGCTGCCGAGACTATTTCAAGAAGTGGCTGCGGGTCTATAAGAGGAGACGCATGGCTTCAAGGAGCTAATTGCAAGTAGCTTGCCGTGACTATGTGTGACGAAAAATTGTGGAAAGAGTCACTCAGCGCTAGCTGCTGGCCATGCCGCGCTCACATCATGAAGGTCTGTCGGGTGGAGTGTAGCGAAGTCATACTCCGTACACTGTGGGGTTGCCACCAAACTCCGAGGATCAACGTAGTCTGTACAGTGCAACACGAAAAAAGTGTAAATTCTACGAGGCCTTCCCAGAACGGTTAGCACACGCTTTCCTGGAACCTGCGGTGTATGTATATGTGTGTGTGTGTATGAGTGTGTGTGTAAACTAGCAGCGGTTGCTGTGTGCAGCAAGTAGCGGCAAATGCAACGCGAGAAGCTGAACTGACAGCCTCAATCAGCACCCGTAGAAAGGCAGAAAGCAAGGCAGCGGCATGTCTACCCCTCTCTAGTGGCCGCCTCATTACTCTTGCCCCTGTCAAGTCCAGTACGGCAGCCAGCTGCAACACGAAATCGGCAGCAAACACAGAAGTCGCACAGCAGCGCGCTTACCAACAATGGGCTGCCTGAAAGCCTCATCGGTAGCAGCGGAGACAGCGCCTCTCAAATCAACTCCGTAAAAGTTTTGATTTTCCCAGAAAGAGCCGCGACAGGAAACCTCGGCAAACAGAGAAGCATCGCTAAAAGGCGCACAGAACAAACGACTCCTCCGAGGAAACATCAATCCTGAGAAAAACACGCCCTACGCATGCGTCTCCCGCATCATCCATGCCCAACGACCTTGAGCACTGGGCACCTCAAATCTGAAGACTTTCGCAAGATCTTCAGCTCTCAAAGCAAGCCATCTCAAGCCCAAACTGCAGACGCCTTAAGACTCCTGCAGTTCTCGCGCACAAGACCTCCCCTTGTCATGCAGCCCTTCTTGCCGATACACCGCGAAAAAAGAAATCTCACAGAGCATCCAATGACGCAAAATCGTCGAAAAGGAGGCAACACATTATTCTGCGCTGCTTTCGGCGCATACCTCCTGGTTTGAGGAGGTGATCCCTGGCATAGAGGTAACTCTCGATCATTCTTTCATTGAACAAAAAAGTTCCCAGCGGCTCCGAAACTAGCACATCCACCCGTTCCCCTCCAAGCTGCTGCAGCTCCACCGTTTCCACAGGCTGTTGCAGCACCTCGACGAGAGAGCCGAAGGAGGGATTTCCGGAGGCTAACAGTCGCGCCGTTGCAGCCATCTCGGACGCCTCCACCGCATACCTAAGCAGACGTGAGGCGCGCAAGAGTTATAAGCATGGAGGGCACCCAGACACTTCCACGAGAATTTTGAACCTGCAGCAAAAGCGCCTGCCTGCCTCGAGCGGCAGCAGCCTCTCGGGAGCACAACGACGCGCAGGATGGAGCTAAGCGACAACTCCCCCATAGACAGCAGCCACACACTCGAGCACATGTGCCGCAGAAAGCACACCAGCGCATGTCTTGCTGCCTGCACTGTGCCGCACGTCGCGTTCTTACACTTTGTGGGCGCCTTGCATTGCAGCAAAAAACGAAAGAATGCCGGACCCTGCTCCCACATCCAGGACCTTTTTGTTCCTGAAATCTCTGCAATTCTGCGTGATCGCTGCCTTATAGGCTGCAGTTCTTGTGGGGTCTCTCAGCATGTCTCGCTGAGTGCTGTGTCTTGCGTAGTATCCGAAGTAGGAGGAAACGGAGGCTCCCTCCATCTTGTGCAGGTGACCACCTCTCCCGGCGGCCCCTCCTTTGGAGAGGCCACTTTGTTGCTGTCTGAGGCTCTTCAGAGCGCTGAGGAATGAAGTCTGCGATTCGTTGCTTTCGAACTCCAGACCAAACAGAGTGTCCACTGTCTCGGAGGCGCCGCCTTCGATCTCGCTTAAGGCCTCATCTTTCCCCTCGTGCTGCGCTCCCCCCGCGCCTCCGTTGGCGTCCGCGCACAGCAGGAGACGCGAAGAAGCACGATGTACTGTCAGACGGTGCAGAGGAATCTGGAAAGGGGCCTCCGCTTTCTTCGCATCGACCGCGCGTGGCTCCAGGGCACTCCGCGGGAAAGTTAAGAGGAAAAAGCCCTCTGGCGTTGCGCTTAGGTCAATGTAACACCGCGTCTTCCTGGAGGCAGCGGCAGAGGCAGCGGGAGAAGACGCTGTGGTGCAGGCTGCTGATGCTGCAGCGGCAGCAGCCTGACGCAGGAGCAGCATGTTCTCGGGGTCCCAGGCAAGGATATTGGCGGCGAACGATATACAGCTGTCCACAGGAAAGCGGCCATGCAACGGAGAAGCCGTCTGGCCGCTGCCAGTGGAGGCTGAACGGGGGGAGGAAGAACCGTAGCCAGGCTTGAGGGGGGGCGGTGAATTCATGGTGCCTGCCGCCAGTGCTAGAGCTCCGCTTTCCTGAAACTGCGGTCGGCCGCTGTTTTCTGTGTCTGCAGTGTGCGGGACAGTAAGATGCTCCTAAGGAATTGCAATCGTGGCGGCTGTGTGACGCAGCAGAGCCGCCTGGTGTCCGGGTGTTCAGACACCAGGCGGTGGCTCGACTTGAAAGGCGCCAGTCTATGGAACCAGCGAGAGAATCACAGCCGGGTGACCCCAGAAAACGCAGTGGTAGAGAGCTTAGATTCAAAAATTCGAGCTGCTAGCTGGAAGCGTCATGAAAGGAGGTGCTGGCTGGCTCGCACGGCACTGCCCGCGAACTTGAGGCTGTCCTGCATGGAAACCAACGGCCGGGAAGAACATAGAGAGGCGCAAAAGGGTTGCACCCACGAGACCCTTTTGAAGAATTTCTCCAAGACTCAACAGGCTCACTTGGGGTTGGCTGGCCCCCTGCCACACAATGTGGCGAACGGGGGGGGGAGAGGGGGGCCGCGTCGACGCTTGCAGCCACCATTAAAACGCGAGAGATACAAAATCCCTAAACAATCCCACCTTTTTATTATCTGGTGCCCCTAAACTTCTTCTTGCCTTCCATCGGCTGCCCCATCCGACTCCCATTTTTTCCGAGTTTTCCCTGGTCGTTTTGGGTGGGCGTTCTTCGAGCCGCGGGAACATGACCAGAAGCTTTGGCTCTTCGGCCTCGCAGAGCACCAGAAGCCGCAAAGACACCGTGCAGCCTTGTATCTGTAGCCTACTTTTGCCGCCGCAGGCAGTAGCGAAGGAGAAGATTTTCGAGGCGCCCTGTTCAAGAAGGCAGAAGCAGGAAGTCAGGCCACAACGGAACCTGCGTCTTCTCTGATGTAGGGGAGAAGGAGTCACTTCAGAGTGTCTCCGTCATCGGCAGCAGCTGCAGCTGCTGCCGCGAAGCTATGGCCTACAACCGCAGCCATTCCAGTGAGACTCCCTCCGCTTCGGATTTCTCCCTTCTGCAGGGGGCTTCTCAAACCCCTTCCCCGAGGAAGCGTGCAACTCAGAGGTTCCCTGCGCCTCTTGGAGGAGCATTTTCTTCGCCTCAGCAGCCTCAGCGGCCCCTCAGGAGGAAGCCTCCTGGCGAATGCTTCCGAGACTCTCCCGGCACTGGAAGCCAGTGGAGGATTGAGCCTCAAGAGGGGGCAGTTCCTCTGGAAGGAAGAATCTCTCAGGATGGAAGTTCGCATTCTTCGCCTCCCCCTCCTGTAAGCGGTGGCTCGGGTCGTTCCTTCGCTGGATCACGCCATCCGGAAAGCCGTCAACAGGAGGAGATTAGACCCTCGCCGCTCCTCCGTCCGCCGACTCCCTCGTGCCACCCCTATGCGACAGCGGGTAGAGCGCCTCCTCGTCAGTGGAAGGGAGGGCATAGTGCGTGGTCGGAGTGCTGTCTAGGGAAGGCTTCGGGCAAGGATGCAGCTTGCAGAGCCGAGATTTCGGCGTCAGAAAGACGCGGAGAAAGGAAACAGGGGTGTTTGCGGGAGGAGGAGCCCAGCTCTCAGAGAGGCACGTTCAATGACGTATCTTGCAGCACAACACGAAGCAGCAGCGGCAGCCGATATGAATCAAGGCGCTGTGAAGCTTTTCAGGAAGAGGGAAAAAGAGGAGGTGGTGGGGCCTCTAGCAGCGACGCAGCAGCAGCAGCAGCAGCAGCAGCAGCAGCAGCAGCAGCAGCAGGAGGAGCAGCGGATTCTTCCCCGTATCCTCCCGCAGATGGGCTAGTTGGTGAAACTTCGGGAGAAACGGAAGCAGGGCACCCAGGGGTAAACCAAGCATGCAGAGGACACAAGGCAGGAGCGCCAGCACATGCATTGTCATCGGTTTCAGCGATTCCGTGTGCTGCCGCTGATGATGACGTGTCACGAATGACCGAGTCGGAGGTGCGAATCTACGCGCGGCAGCTGCAGGCGCTCACAAAAGTGTTATTATGCAACATGAGGTGTCTGTACAACACAGCCCGCGCAGAAATAGAGAGGAAGGACCAACGCATCACGAAGCAAGAAACCGAGCTCAATTTACTTAAGAAAATGCAGCAACAGCAGGAAAATAGCAGAGGAACGTTGCAGTACCCCAACAAATAAAAGTGCAAGCAGCAGCAGCAGGAGCAGACTGGTTGATGTGCCTGCGTTTCTGCTGACGTTCTTTTCTGCGTTGTCATCATGAGCTGGTATCTGCAGCTAAGCATGTGATGCACCTTTGGCCATTTTTAGTTTTGGCAGTGATATCGCTCTCGTGGATGTTTTCACTGCTTAGTTATATTTCCTCCGCATACAACGTGTACTAGTTGGCGCCGAATAATTTTGTAGGATGAACAGGCTGTATTTGTACGCAGTGCCTGTAAACGTGCAGGCGCAAAGGCTGCTAGTGTTTGCTTAGCGAAGAATTTCGCGCTACGGTCTCTTGCTAGTGATCAGGAACCCAAGTTACAGATTTAAGAATTAAGGGCTCATTGAAACTTTGAGAGGGATTGCGTTTCTCCAGGTCAACCCGGAGTTTGTAAACTACGCATGACTTTATACGTACAGCTGCTGGAGAAATGTTGCTTTAAAGGGGAAAATGCGTAGGAACTGGGGCATACGTCAATTTGCATCCACTCTTCGTGCAATGAAACACTCAGGCCATTGACTGCGGCAAAAAATTTCAGTCCAAATCAGGGTGTTTGCTGCCCTGAACTTAGGAGGACTGCAGGAATTTTTCATTTCTTTGATTCTCGAAAGTGAACCACTGCACCAATGGCAGCGTGTGACGTAGTACGCTGTCCTCTCCCCCGCTGTTTCAGTAGCTGCTGCCTGCCCTATATGTAGCGTTGGTTGCCCTGCAGCTACTCTGTCGTATGGTGTTGCAGCGCCGGTCCGTGCGTGGCGAAGAACTACCTTAGAGGCACGACACCAATGCGCGAAGCTCGCTGTCTTCATGGGGTATCGTATTATGTGGGTTTGCAGTATCGATAATCTGCGTCCTGATAGGGATACACGGAAGGCGCGCTAGTGCATTAGGGTCCTAAATGAGTTTTAGCCATGTTTTGCTGCGGAGAAGGCGCCGTTTAAGTGCGGGGTGCGAAACAATTTTTTGCAAGCTGACGAAGTGGCAAGGGCTTTTTTCAAAGCGGAGTGCTGCACTCCTGGGCTTCGACTCATCACATATTGGACCAAAATGTGATGCGCACTAGGAGGTACGCATGGAGCGTCAGCACATGTGGTCATGAATTGCCCACTGGTTCGCCCTAGGAGCCCGAAGCAGCAACACGATCTAAGGCCTGTTGCTGGACATCCAATGCTCCTTCAGGTAACTCTAGACCCCACCATCCAAGCCGTAGATCTAGTCTGTTTACCCCTTTGTCTTGCAGGGCATGCATTTTCGCTCCTCACCGGACTGTTAGGAGCTTCACTGATGAGCTCATGTGGTATTGCAGTGCCTGAAAGGGTGGTTTCTAGCCAGCATGAAACGCCGGTTTGTATGTGTGTGTGTGTCTCACCCACGCCCTCCGCAGCTACAAGTGCACGAAGAGTTTCTAGTTTTCCGAGTGGTAGAAATTAAAAATTCTGAGGTTAAGATGTTAATAGGCCACACTGCCTCAATTTACTTTGGCGATTCTGCTTTCCCATGGACGCGAATAATGTAACAATCACAGGTCCCCTACAAGGCCTGTTCCTGGTGGCCTATGGATCCTTGCTAGATTTTGCATGGAATCCATGCCAGGGCTGGAGCAACACGATTATCTCATTATAAGTTGTTGTTCTTGGCGCGCCGCTCTGATGGATGGTCTGCTGGTGCATCTTACTTGAAGGCGGTGAAAACATGGAGTGGGTGAGGAGTACGCGTGAAAGTGGGCCTCGCTATATTACTGGGTAATTTTAGGGGAGTGCATGCAAGGCTTGGCCAGGCCATGCTCAACCTCGGAGAATGCTGCTTGTATTTAAAATGAATATCTTTCTCAAAGGTGTTCGTGAGGCTAGAGAACAGCTTCTGCAGACTGGGCTATTCTTGGGCGTTGGTGGTCTATTTTCCGTGGTCGTCTAGAAGACCTCGACTAGTCGTGTCATACCTAGTGTAAGTATTGATACCAGACAAAGATAGGCAATCAATAGTTTCTTGACGGACTGGGATTACACTTTTATCGGGCTAATGTACAAGCTGGCAGTACCTAAACAACTTCGATGCGGGCGGTAGACGTACTTGCACGCATACGCAGGTGGATGAATATGTAGAACTTAGCCAATGTGATACTCAACAACAAACTAATGCTGACGTATCCAGACAAAATAAGTAGCATAAACACAGTAGCGTCGCGTTGTTTACCATGGATGCTTCCATCGCACTCAGCGTGTCTTCATACGTACTACTTGATGACGCGTTTCACTGACTGTCCAGACGTGTATCCCATTAAATCTCTATGCGCCACAATGTCGGCTTGTGCTAAGCTGCATGCATTAGAAAATTCTTAGCACAGCTGTACTAGTAGTGAACAGTAGACACGTTACACTATGCCTTTTGCATATGTTTACGCCATCCCCTGGACGGCAAGAGTAACTTGCTACTCTTTATGGAAGCGCCATTCTGACCGGCATTTCTGCACTGCTTTACATATCTATCTTGAGCCTAAAGTGTATCGCTGGGAAGGGTGAAACCAAGCATATTATGCGTACTGTGGATAGACTGAAGATTTTGTATGCTGCTTCCTGCTGCTTTTTTTTTCACCTGGGCAGCGAACGGAAATCACACAAGAGCACGGGCAAGTGGACGCGCCGTAATTCTGCTCTAGCTTTCTAGGGTTAAACGGATGACAGCTGCCTCAAAAAGAAAGCCTTCTTGCTTAATTGTCCATCATTCCCTCTCACCACCTCTACCTGCGTACACTCTAAAATAGTGTTGCTCCTGAACACTTGGGTGTGCAGCCACTGCTGCCAGGGAGCGTGCCATTTGACCTCGTGTACAGGAAAGGATATATGGGCACGACAGAGCACAGAACATTCGTGAAGTATGTTCTTCTGTTAGGATGTATGGAGACCTGCAGAGGCTCTTTCTGTTTAATTTACCCATTGAATATTAGACAGAATGCACATGTCGGCTACCTGGAGACCCCTCAGGTACTGCCACTCCCCCGGAGGAGATGGATATTCCACTATAATATTCAGCACGGCGAACCCGCAAAACTCATACGTACTGGGAGATATTTTGAGAATCTCAACGTGAGGCTTTTTTCGAAAGTCTCTAAACAATGCTGACTGTACATATTGGATTTTCTCGAAAAGAACTTACCAAATTCCTGCGCTTCATTGTGGGGAACATAGTGGCAAGGTACCACTGTCTTGACTAAAGCTGCAATTCAAAGAAAGAGTGTTTTGGGGAAGGTGATATGCCAAGGGTGTGTAGTATCTCCTGGAGCGTTTATGGCTTCGCGCTCCACAGGAGGCAACGATTGGGAATGCATACTCAGTGAACAAGTGAACCAGCGACATTCTTAGTGAAGGAGGCTTCACCATATAA